TATAAGTATTGGAGGCGCAATAGATCCTAATGACGTGACAGCTTCAATCTTTGCGAGACGCGTCACCCACCTTTTAAAAGCAGATAATTTCCCTCATTAATCATATGGAGCGAGCAGGTTTTCTGAATCAAGTAATTGCGAAATTAGCCCAACTCCTTCAATGTGCTCTTTTTCGGCGAGAAGCCGCCAAGATGAATAGCCAACGCACCGGCCGGCGTTAGTGGCTCAAATTAACTTGAAGCTAATCGAGCACAACCAAACTCAAGGAAAGCAGCTATCGAACCTTCCCTTTCACTTGACTGCAACATTGGTGTCCCCTCCAGTGAATTAAGCACTTCGTCTGTCGACCTTAGTCTACTGTTCTACATCCTTATAAAAAAACCGCTTATCAGTTACCAAGCAGTCGTCACTTTGATTGTGATTAGAGACAGACGAGAAATCAAAACGTTTTTCCATGATTCCTCCCCATCCAAAAAATTGAAAGCACGCGATCGTGTGTTGTGGAATAAACGGGCTTTCAAACACGTGATGGAAAGAAACAATCTACTGAGGCTTCACCACACTAATGAACACTCAGGCAAACTCAAGAAATTTTCGGACCTTCGTCAAATTACATTGCTCGCCGCCGCGCCGATAGCACGCGTCCGCGAAAGCCATCAGGGACCCGGCGGGGCGCGGAGCGACCTGGACCGGCTGGTTTCCGGTTTTCCCGCTTGGCGGCGTCCGTTTTGCTGGAGTCGCGAATAGCTTCGTGGTCACCTTCGATGAGCTTTCCCAACGTCCTCACGTCCGACGCAGGTCGGTTGCGACGATGAGATCTTATGTAGTCGCCGAGAAAAAACGAGAGCGGCAGGGTGTGTCTGTCGAACGCCCGGCCTTCAGCACGTGCTTCGTGCCTTCCGCCGTGCTCTGACTGCGCGAGCGCGCGCGATCTCAAGGTGCGCGCGATGACAAAGCACTGTCGAAGGCAGCAAGCTCGCGCTGAAGGCGGGACAGCCGAAGCTCTTCCCAGCCGCTCTCACTTTGTCAGTGCTTATAGCGCTATCATGCTGTCCAATGGCAATCGTGCCGCCACTATAGGCCTATAGTCCAACACCACGTAGAATAACCGAGGCCTGCGAAAGACCTTCCTCTTCCTCCATGGAACGCCATCGCGGTCAGGTGGCACGAACTCAGCAATTGGACCCGAGCCCCATGTCGAGCGTCCTCGGACGTGCCGATTGGACGCGAAGCCCAGTCGAACAGTGACGCAGCACTCGTAATCCAATCGCTGTCCTCACTCGATCTCACTGTGATGACGTCATAATTCTGGTGCGCGGACTTTTGGTTATTCTAGGCGGTGTTGCCTGGCCAGACATGCCGGACGAGGGAGCGGTCAAACCGTCTGCATTGGCACCACTTGTTGGTGTTATGTCCTTTCGTGGCTCGTCGGTTATTCAACTCGAGAGTGATAAAGGTCGTACAATATATGTGCCACGTAAGCGAGTGAAATTTTCGTTTATCAACATTATTAGTGGCGAGATGTTTTGGTGGCGCCCTCGTTCGGTTACCTTTCGTGACGTCATTACCTTGGGAACAGCAAGTTCGATGGCGTTTTAATGGGCATGGTGGAAGCCTGAAGTCATAGCGCTCTCAAAGCAAAACTGCCAACACCGTCAAAATTGAAGTTCTTACATTCCTCTTATTTCCGTCGATAAGACATCCTTTGCTGACGTCATAGCATTCGGTGGATTGTGGTGGGGCGACCACAGCGACGCTTTCGTTCGCTCACGTCGCCAATAGGCCAGCTTTATGTGCCTTCGACAATGCGACCGCGAAACAAAAGGGCGTAATGACGTTACGCAAATGTCCTCCCCCCATCAAAAATATATATATATATATTTTCAAAAGTTAAAGTAATCTGCACTGCAGTCCTGGGAGATTCAAATTTCATCCAGTATAGGGAGGTGACGGGAGAACAGAGTTCGTGATGTGCAGAGGTAGAATGACACAGCTGGATTGGAGCGCCCGGTTGGGCTTTGAACACGATTGATAGAGGGATTTTTAAATAACATTTAGTGTTAGCCAAAACATAGAAATCGAATAGTTATTTAGTTTGATGTTAGAAAAATGTGGTGCCGATGTTTTTTTTTTTTTTAATCTGATTTAAAACATGACGCCCCTTTAGAACATTCATATAGTATCTGGAAAAGAAGATATGCCGGAGAAGCTCCGGTCGAAAATTTGCGAAGAATAATTTTGCAATCGTTTCAGAATGCCCCATTTCTTCGCTGTCACAAATTGGGATAACAAGAAACATGGCGTTCTATTGCTCCACACAGTGGCCCGGAAATAACCAGTCTTTATTCTAGGAACTTGTCTGTTATATGGCGTTTTGCTCCCCACACTGAGTAGTGCCTTACTAGAAGGGGTTCCTACTGACGCAGTAGCCCTTGTTTGTGAAAGCGGAGTTTCGCATTATGTGGGTGGAGCTTTCTCTAAAGATCTTTCCTTGTAAGAGACTATTGGCGACGAGATGTTTTGGATTCCTACAAGTCCAATGGAATGTGCAAAAAGTCACCATGGATGCTCGGAGTCATCGTGTCCTAACACAGTCAAAGTTTACTGTCGTGCATTACCCTTATTTTAGCCCAATAAGAGGAGAAATAATCCTACGCTAAATACGTCATAGCGAACGTTTGTCCAGTCGTGTAAGGCCGGCCACAGCGAACTTATGGCCGCGCATGTCACCGATCGGTAAGGCACGTGGCCCACGTCTGTATCAAAATTACCTGTCGGGCTAGTTGGATAAGCACCGTGAAAACAATTAATGTGCAAGACGAGGACAAGACGAAGATACGAACAGGACAAGCGCTACCATCAGGTGAGTATTTAATGTATGTTTATGTTTATATACGTTTATGTATGGTAGTATGTTTACATCTGTAGCACTGCCTGAAAAATAGATGCGGTACCTCAACCGTTTTAATACGAAAGCATTAACTGTCCCGTGGAGCGAAGCCGGCGTTGTCTGTAACCTTCTGTAGGAGCGAAACGGCAGCGAAATTCTCTTTGACCAAAAGCACAACAACGCAGATGCATCATCACGGAAGCCGTGGAGCCGGCGGAGCTCGCCGCGCCTGCGCAGTCGGGGAGCGTGATGTCACCGCCGGAGCTCCGTGTGAAAAACGAAGACGTGGCACGCTGCTTCTAGGAATGCGCTGCGTGTAGGAATGCTTTCGCATTCCTACACGAAAACGGTCTTCTTAAGCCGGACCGTTTCCTTATAATCTCTTTTTGTTGTCTTCTTTCCTTTTTAATTAATTGTCTTTTTTATTTTTTGTACAAGTATGTCATTGATGACAGACGCCTCTCCTGCCGTGGCTCGCTCTTAGCTCGCCAATCCACGGAAACTTGCGCAGCAACGGGTTTGGACGCTGCGACGACGGCGATACTCGCGTTCGCTCGTGCTTTTCTGTCCGAGCTTGTATACGATCGACCGCGAGGATCGCGATATGCGACAGCAGGACGCTCCCGTTACCGTGGCGTCATTGGTTTGCCACCGCGGAACAACTTTTCGCGCTTGGTCAGAAGGGGACGCGAAAAACACACACAAGTTGAAGACGCGTCTCGAGTTCCGTACTCCCCTCAGCTTCCTTCTACCTTCCGTTTTATTTGTTTCATTTTTTTTTTACTATACATCGGCTTTTCTTTCTTTTTTTCTTTTTTCTTCTGTTTTATCGTTCTTTACTCCGTTGATTTATTTTCGATTCAATTTAATGAATTCTGCAATGCTAACGCGGGAGCAGACTGAGGCACCTCAGTTTTTATGCGTTCACCTGCCTCACCTCAGTTCTATACATGTAGAAATCGAAGGAGAGGGGAGATGATAGGGCGCAGGGACTCCGCAACACCATATTCTGACTGGAGGGATTAGTGTCATAACTTCCTATGTACTGACAAGGCCTGGCAGATCGCCACGAGAGGCGGCCGCCGAAATGGAAAAGGTGGAGCGGCAGACAACGGATGAGAGGAGAGCCACGTAAGTGGCGCCCCGCTGCGCCGAGACGCCGAAACACACTTCTCCCGAGCGAAAAAGTGTGTTTCGGGTCCCCGCCGCTGCAATAGCTCTGCGCTGACGTCCAGGCTCCCCGAGAAATGGCTCTTTGGTGCTGTGTGCTACCAGATCGTCGCGCTCCAAGTCTGCAACCGGGCACTCATGGCTCCGTCGTTAAACTGCCAGGCTTTGTGAGTATAGAGGAGGCTATGTTAGTGGGTAGACACAGTGCTAGACGCCTTCGTCTTTACTGAATGTTCAAAAGCGTTTAAATGCGTACGAACAGGGAGTAGAGACAAAGGCATATAGCTTTTGCGTCCACCCACTAATCATTCCAAACCAGAGCTCGGTGTTCCGACGTCCTCTCGCGCTGCAGTACCCACCTCTTCCTCGAGTTCTACCCGCACATATATATATTTCGTGACCGTAACGAGCATGAAGATCGGGCGGCGTGTCCCCGTGTCGCTTTCAGGAGCCGGGAGGGTGCCGCGCTCTACGTACGCTTCGGGCCAGGTCCCCTCGCGTCGATCGAGCAGTCTGTTTTGGACCACAACCGGGACGTCGGAGCAGCAGACAGTCGGCTTCCCGCTCCACCGTGAGTGCTCGCCGACAGCGGGGCGTACACGGGGCAACAGTTAGCGCAGACACAACATCGAATATTTTTGTTTCTTTTTTACCAATGAATAAATATTTTTTAAGGTTCATCGAGCAACACTGGCGGTCGCCATTGCTTGGCAAGACCCTGTTTGTTTGTTTTTCCACAGTGATCACCCGATGTGAGGGGCTAAGCCGTCACATCCAATCCAATCCGATCCAATTGGACCGAAAGCGCGTGATTGGACCCGAGTCCTCGCCGAACGGTGACGCAGGGCTCGTTTTCAATCCGAGCCGAGCCGAGTTCACGTCGAATGCTGACGCGGTCCTCGCGTCCTCGTCGGAGAATGTGATCAACCAATGGAGGAAAGGCAACGCGCTCGTTGCCTTCCGCCGTGATTTGGCTGCGCGGTCAAGCTCGAGGCTTACGAGACGCCGAAGCATCATCGAAGGTAGAAAGCTCGCACTGGAGGCCAAGCGATCGTTGTCGTCTTGTTTGTGACCATAGCGACGGGTACGTTCAAGCACTGTAGCAGTAATGATGACATTTTCTTTTTTCAATCCCGTGGGAAAATTTGATTCCTTGTCTGCGCGAGCAGTGTCGCACTTTCTACAATGCCGCCGAGGCTTTCGTCTCTTTTTATTACTCGCTATACTTCGGTCTATCTTAAGAGAGAGAGAGAGAGTGCGGCACAAGCCAGTAGCCATCGGAGTCAATCGAGCGCTTAGAGTTAGCTTCGGGATCTTGCGGTTGGGCGTTGCGATGCGCCGAGCGGGAATTGGCTTGGATTGGCTCGGATGGCTTCTAGCATCGGCTGCAGCCCATATCAAGATGAAGTAAAGCCGAATTAGTATACACTCCGTGCGGGAACTATAGGGGGCGCTTTGAAAAACGCGCGCAGCGCCGCTAGCGGAGGAGCCGGCGTTCGACTGCGAGGCGCGTTCAGCAGCCTGCGGCGCCTTTTCGCATGCCAAGCTGTGGCGGCGGAAGCGTGCACGGACGAAACTTTTGCTTTTTGAGCCGATAAGTTGAGGGTGACGTTGCATGAGTGCTGGGGCAGAAGGGCATTTAGCTGTTCTCCACTTCTTATATATTGAGTTTGAGTCGTTATTAGGGGTAATTTCTCTAGTTGCGGCCGAAAAAGGAGTTGGAGCAATTTTTCGGAAAACAAGACGGCCGCCACCATAATTGCTCTGAGTGGGAAATTCATTTCGCTCGTCGCTGTAAACCTAGGACTGCTGGAACGATGATATTTGGAGGCGAGTGAGAAGTTTCTTTAAGACAGCAGATGTGAAAGTTATGTTTCTAACGAATAAAGAAATAAAGCTGTACGGGATATTCAATATTGGACCCAAAAGGTTGTGTTATAACGGGCTGTGCAAAGTGCAGATTTGGGCACACAGGTGCTTGGACTTGACAATAACATGACACAGCACTTATTATACAAAAAAAAAAGTGGCATAGGGAAACCAGGTGAAAATTTGGTTTGGGCGGCGTAACTCAATGGGAACCGGTTTTTACCATGAAAAGGCTGTCAAGAGAATACCACTGGTCGGGGGAGTTGGAGACTTTAGAGGTAGGAAGGGACTAGTGGACTGTACTTCCAATTGAAACAACTTTACGAAAGGTGGTTCCAAAGCCGAGAAAACAAAGTTCTCGGCCAACGCACGGTTTGGCCGCCAAGGGCTTTTGCGGTCAGCTGTTGTGTAATAACCCGTTGTGCGAGGTGCTGATTTTCGGCGCACAGGTACTTTGACATGACCGAAACTTGACACAACACTTATTATACCAAAAAGTGGTGACATAGCAAAACCAGGTGGAATTTTAGTTTGGGCAGCGTAACTAAATGGGAACTGGCTTTGACCGTCAAAGGCTGCCAGATAATACCACTCATCGTGGGAGGTGCACACTTTACAGGTAGGAAGGGACAAGTGGGACGGTACTTACAGTTCGAACCACTTTGCGATAGGTGGCTCTAAAGCCGTGAAAAAAAAAATTGTTGTCTACAGAACTCTGGGTGTCAGCGTTTCCACATCCAAAAGGAGCCTGATCAAGAAAGAAAGCTCACCACATAAACTTCCATACTCAAACGTCAAATTCTCCAGTGATTCCGAGTTTCATTGTTGTTTTCCATAGATTTACATTTGTCACTTTTTTTACCGTTCGAATCTTTCTTCGTGAAGTACACATTGCGTGCGATACTCGTCTAGAAATATCATCAACAGGTACTATGGGGACGAAACTTCTTTGGAGGGCATTCCTCCCTCCAACGAAATTCGCACTGCATACCCTCGAGTGTGGGATGGCATTTCAGTTCGTCCCATCGGCGCTGACACATGTAGGCGTTACTGGTACGAAAACAAACGCAGAGCGCAATGCGGCAGTGTAAAATATGTCAGCCGTGCCGACACTGTGGCAGACATCATCGGGAGACCAAATTTCTCGCGCCGTACGGCACGGCTCCATCGCTGTCGCTGTCCCACAAAACATCAACGAGGTGAAAAACTGTGAAACTTTGTCTCCACGAGATACGACGCATAACTATTGAAGCACTTAATGACGCAGCACAGGCAGCACTTCATGCTGTGAACCCAGCGCAACCGCACCACTCCGACTTCAACGCGTACCAACGTACGCGGCGTGGTTTCGGTTTCGTTTTCTCCGGGGTTCTCACTGCCTACCTTCGGTACCGGCCGCGCGGCGGCGCGCCAGTCGCGTCGCACGGAGTGTATAGGGCCCAATGGTACCTTAACTGTTCTATTGCACTAACGCGATGAATCAAATCCACTAAAAAAATGTTTTGGACAATCCGATCATGTAAATGAGGTGAAACATAATGCGGTGCGCGTGTTTTGTGGAAATATAAACGACGAAAGAAAGCTCTCTTCGAGCTTTCAGTATCAATATACGTCAGTAGACAAGGCCTTCGCTACGCTGCACGGATATCCTATATCTACGTATGGATATCATGCGCAATGGAGACGTGTTATCTATGACTACTATTGATATAATATACGAGTGACTATTTACCTCATTTCAGCACCGGGATCGGGTGACGCGGAGATTTCGGCCACAGACGAACAGCCTTCTACCGGTACGTCTTGTGTTCTTGGTATTTTGTTTTGCGCATACTTGTATCGTGGTGCTAGCAGAGTTCTATACGCCCGTACGGACGCAGAGAACTCAGTTTATCGAACTCAGTGTCAGTTTATAATATGCCAATTGATTGAGTCAGTCGACTCATTACTGAATGCTCGAGCGTCCGTTTGCTAAATGCTAATTGAAGTGTATTCCGAAATGGCGGCATAACGTCCCAAAGCGAGGATCACAGCAGATGGTAAAACTAAAAAAGAAAACCTTTGGTGTCCTCGTTAAACTAGCGCCACAAGCACCGGATTTTACAGGAACAAAGTTTGGAGTATTCTGACATAAGGATGCACCCCGCAGACAATAGAAGCTCAAACGCCTGATCCATCTTTTTTCTGCGTCTGCGGTCCGCACAAGCTCGCTTGTCTCCCAATTTGTCACATACATAGTTCCAAGTATGAGACCTTAACTTTGCATTTCATACCCAGTTCGGAACCACGGCTCGCTCAGAAACAATGAAGGACGCGAAAGAAGGTTTCGATTTTCAGCGATAATACGTGGGCCGGTGAAAAAAAAAAGTTTAATTGATGCCTAAAAAGAAAAAATAATTTTCCGAACGGTCGTGAGCCGCTTACCTGCAGTGATCTGAAGTTAGGCAGGCAAAGCACGCTTTACAGAAGATGTTTTTTCTAGCGGATGCAGTCGAGTCGCTTTCCCTCAATGCTTTGAAGATAAGCAGGCAAAGCACGCTTTACAGGAGATCACTTCCATTCGGAAGCACTTGGATTGTTCATTGTTAAGCTCTTTGCTGGATTCTAATTCAAACTTAATCTACAGTAAAATTATCTGTTCTATTGTCACTAGCAGTCACTAGAAAACTTTAAAAGGATGACAAAATATATTTTAAGGGCCTAGATGGGACTCGTATATTAGAAGAGAACTTTACCACGGAGAACTTTCAGCCTTTCTACTCTGGTGAAGGAAGACCAGCGAAGCTGTACTATGGTGGGAATGAAGTAATGGCCGGCCGCAAGTCGGCAAGCCAGAGTGGAAAGGCTGGAAAGGTTGCCGCCATCTATGATCGACGGTGGCAACCAGACATCCGGCAAGTCGATTATCTGGTAGCCGCCGTCGCTCATAGATGGCGGTAGTTGTCCAGAGTTTCGTGTCGTCATTTCTTTGCTGGCGGACACGATACGGGGGAAACTAGCCCTTAACAGCTCCGCTGTAAAAAAAATGTTTTCCGAGCAATATTTAGGTCGCCAGACGCCATTTAGGTGCGGAAGGTGGAGGTCGTAGCCCGCTAAGCCCTGCTCCGTGCTTACGTAGTGCTTACGTCTCTCATTGGCTAGATAGACGATTGCCGTGTAAAAGGTTGGTTGCAAATTTGTATCTGTGAACCCTAATAGTATTTTAATCGATATTTGTGTGCGTGTGTTTGAGAAACAAATTTTTCAGATGGAGTCATTTTGTTTTCAAATGTATTCTGAAATGTATTCTCCTGGTTTCGTTTGAAACCTTAACAAACATGGCTGGTGGCGTCTGCGGAGTGCTCAAAGAACGTAGCTCGCGTTCTTACGAGTGTTTCGTAAGTATTTAGACGGGGGCGAAATAGCAGACGATCGAAGGCGAAAACAGACGCCAAGTTATGGTGCCTCTGGAGCGCGTTCTTCGACTGGTGTGTTCAGCGTCCTATCCCGCCCATAGACTGAAAGTAGCCCCGAAGTTGCAACAAATGACACCATAAAATTCGGAATATCATGTTGTCGAAAGTCGCGATCCTGGTGGTCGGGCGTAGAAACGCTGGCGAAAAGTACGAGCGAACGCGAGTGTCGCTGTCGTCGCAGCGTCCCATCCTCTGTCTGCACAAGCTTCCGTGAACTGCCACACTGGAGAGCGAACGGCAGCAAAACAGGCGTCTGCCGCATCTAGCACCGCTGCTGGGACACCGCCAGGATCGCGACCGGCGACAGCATGACACTTTTGTGACGTCATCAGGTGGAAATCGAGGGACCACTCTTTTAGACGTGGTATTTACGTCAGTCGGAGAGGCGTTCCAGGCACCACAACTACGAGCAGCTTTCACGTCCGCGTCTAACGGACACTGCAGACGGCGATAGACGGTGGTGGAATAGCAGACGACGCCGGAGGCTGCCGATCGTCTGCTCGCACGACCAGCAGGCGGTGTCAGACTCCAGCAACGTTGGGCTCCAGACTTGACGCACCGGATGTCGCGAAAAAGAGACACTAGACTTGTTGGCGTGTTTAGTCGAGCAGTCAAGCCAATCAAGTAGTAATGGGCGGGGCCACTGATCTGTGGGCGGGGCTTAGAACGGGCTCGGACCTCCATCTAAATTGCGCCTAACAAAGTACATATAGCGCATTTTTTTTTCTTTCGTGTGAGGATTATTTGAATTAATTACGTGTCCAAACTGTGCCCTCTATTTTGTTAAGTTAGTGTTTATCTTTAAGCTGTCAGATTCACACACCCAGTAATGGTCAAGGCCATATCAGATTCAGACCCTCCACGTACTCCTGGTCTTGCTGCGCATGCACAACCTTCGCTGGCTCGTCGCTAAGCTACGCAGCATGTAGCGAAAGTCACACGCTCCGTTGTTTGCATTTCGATGTATACCTTGATAAAACTCATAGACAAAATTAAACGATAACATATCAAAGTGATGCTTATTTTATTTCTGCGTTTCAGAAACTGCCTCGCTCGAAAGTATGTGAGCCTCAAACTCTCGTATTCTTAAGTAATCATGTCCCGATAGTAACCGTTTTTATTTCTCTACACGCCATTTCAGCGACGACGTAAGTAGTAGCCACGATGTTTGACTTGGCAAACTTCTCACGGGAGTCATACGTCTTGTGTCCAAACTGCGATATCGGCGACCCACAAGCACCCTTGTCCATTTCTTGAGCAACCGCCGCGCTACAGCGATTTGTTTCAAAGCAATAGGCGCGCCTGTCGCGCAGGGAAGCCTCCCTACTGTGGCGTCACCCATGTCTGGCTTCCTCACATTGCTCGTTGGCTCGAGTCACGATACACAAGCAGGATGCCGCAGGGTCATTTCATGCCAAAGGAGACGCGGCAATGTTTTCGTGTCTGGGATATGTACCAAAAAATTACTTTCGATAAAGAAGCCTCTGAGCTCCAAGAAAAGTACATTTAGTTTTTAAAAATAAAATTGATTTTTGCTGATATCATGCTGTAAATTTAAATTTGTATTAAACCCCAGTAGATGAAGGGGCCGTGTAAGAATTTTTCTACTTCTTCCTCCTTAGCTTTAATCCTCAACTCAAAGGCGAATTGACAAATGACGTCGTCGTGACATGCTTAGGTAACGGTGCGATGGCTCCAAGCTTCCACCGTGCTTTTTAAGCACACAAACTTGTCGTTCGCAAGTGACGATAAGTTCCGTTAGGGTATCCACTGGCCACGAACGCGAATCCAAATATTCGTCAACGGATTGAATGTTGACGAGTGCATACGTCCGGGTGACGGAGTTCTCGTGTCCAATGTGTCAGCTAAAGTCAGCTGACGTCATTTTGGAACCTCTGACGTGTTTTGGGTACCGCGGATGTATCGTAGTGAAAAGGCGGAGAGCTTTCAAAGAAAAGGAGGTACGAAATAGTCCGCTATATTTTCAGATGTTCGTATTGAAACGCTGGCTTTTGACTTTCTACCTCTTTCTTATGGCCCACTAAAGCATATGCGATTAGTAAAGTCCCAATTTAAAATAATTTATCCCAGCCCAAAGTTCGTTTCATGGCCCTTTAAAAAAAAAAAAAAAAACATTGTAAAGAAAAAGGGACGGTTGCATCCCCAAAACATTCGGTGGGCGACTAATTATTTAATATCCCAGAGATGAAAAAATGCCGCGTCTTCTTCGACATGAAATGACCCAGCTGTATTTCGTCTGTATATCTACGCCAAGAGGAGGCTCGCGCAGGTTCTATTTAACGAAGCTTCGGGACTTGATTGAGTTCGTCAACGTATTTAAAGAGAGTATACAAAAATTACCCTAGCAGCGCGTGTGTGCAATTTAGGCTCACGCGCGTTGAATGCATTCCCGCATGGTCTTGACGAAAATTGTCTAAGTGAGAGAAAGAACGAAAAGCACCTAATGTTTTCTTTTTAGATCACCGTGCATCAGCATAGTTTCTTTGCGCATTGGGTAAAACATTGAGTGACCTTAAGGCTGGTATTAAAAAGAAGCTAAAGCAATTCTTGAAAAAAAAAGAGAAAACGAGTTGGAGGTTAATTCTAGAGTATTTTATCCCGTAAATTTGAATATTACGTTCGTTTTTAAATGAAGATGTAACTAAACGTCAGAAAACAGAAAAATCCTCCGACCAGTCCTTGCGTCATAAAAGGATCTATCGACCGCCATGCGCGTGTCATATGCAAGCGTGCCAGGTATATTTCCCCGCACTGACACCGGCCGCGACGTCTTTTTTTGACCATTTTCAAAATAGCAAGAGTAAGCGCGCATATAGGAAGTATTCACTGGCTGCCATAGCTGTGTGCTCGACTGCTGAGCGCGTGCTGATGGCTAGCTTCCAGGGTTCTTTTGCAACGTGCATTACACACCGTCAAAATGGCTGGTTTTAGCAGCCTATTTATAGGGGCTCGTTCTGAGCATGCGCTCTAGACAGCACCCACAAATATGGCGCCCAGTGAATACTCCTTATAGCTTTGATACGCGCTGAAGATTCGCAACAGCGGAGATTCCGAAAACTACCTTTACGTGACGCTCTGAGGAAGGAGGGGCTTCAGCGCTACTTCGGAACTGATTTTTTGAAGCCTCTCTGCACCAAATTGAAAAATAAACTTGATATTTGTGATCCTGGAGGCCAAATGAAGTCGATTTAAGTGTTTTACTCAATTACGGAACCGTTTCAGTTTCCCTTTAATTTATGGCTAAAGCCTGCTGACCTAAATCGCAAGCGGGAAATGTCAAGGCACGCCCTTATTAGAATCAAGACGTTTTAACGTAAACACGCCAAGACGAGAGGAACACTGTGTTTTGCCCCGTTTGCACGCCTAGCCCGTGCTTTGACGCTCGTCCTCACGAAGACGGGGTCCTGCACGTTTCCGCGTGCACGCGTTTTTTTTTCGAAAGGAAATGGCGTTTTTGAGTCGCTTCCGGTTGATTGTTTTAAACACGACACTAAACGACACTGAAGACAGGCAAAAAAAAACATCGCTTTCGAAAAGCCGCGTGTGCACAAAGCAGAACGAGAAAGTTATCAACTCTGTTTTTAGCGGACGGAATTCGGAGGCTTCCTGGTGGCTGCTGCCGGTCGTGGTGCTCGGGGTCTGCGCCGGACTCGTGTTGCTCGCCGTTGCCGCCCTGGGCACGACGTACACCTATAAGATCGTCGTCTCTCGCATCGGAGGTAGGCATCTCGTAGCCCGATACTTCTTTGTAAACGAACCAATTAGGTACGCGATAGTATAACCCCCGAGGTCACGTGCCCCCCCCCCCCCAGGTCACGGACCCCCAAGGTCACGTGACCCCCTCCCCCTTGAGAACACGTGACCCTCAGTACCCTTCCCTCCTCCTCCTCAAGAGCTGCGCTCTAACTCGGCGTTACAAGGAGTTGTAAAAAGCTTTCGTTTTCTTTGCGTTTTAGGCTAAAAGTGTAACATAACGCTGTTTCAACTCCGCAGCTGACGAGAACCTTTCGGGGCCGCCACGTGGTAAGTTCGGAAAGTATATTTACGACAGTGTTGCACGTTCATATCTTCTAAACGTAACTTTATAAATGTTCGTATGCAATATTTTTCTAATATAAACCTTGGCGCTGAGTTTATTTTAAAACGTAAAAGTGTTTGTCACAACGTCTCCGTAGGTAGCTATTGTTCGGTACGAAGAATTTATACCACGCCCACGATAGGCTAATTTTTAAACATCGAGATTAAATTTTAGATGTCATATAATTTACACGAGATAGCTTTGGTGTTGAAAAGCCGGTAGTATAAAAAAAGGTGTTGTATCAGTCAATGGCGGAAAGTATACATGTTCTGACTACTTCATTTGTTCCGGTTGTACGCGTATTTTAAGAACTAATTCACATTTGTTGGTTTTAAATCGTATTTTCGATGCGATCTCTCGAAGATGCTTGTAGAAATTAATGCCTCTCATTTTTATTTCAGGTAAGCTTGCGCCAACGTATTTTACCCGTCATTTTATACAATGCAAATTTCTTTTTTTATTGCAGTTGACGGGACCATAACATATCCGACTGGACCAGACGGTAAATAAAGTTGCTAGAACCAAATAAGTCAGTAAACTGAAAAAAAAAAACGCAAACATACACGACAAATTTAATTTTTAGGGCACAAATTTCCCCTCGAAAAAGATGGCGGTATATGATATTGCAAACTTCACAATTTAATTTTTTTTTAGTATTCACAAGATTTGGTATAGTCTAATCATCCGAGTATTTCCTCAAAACGTATTTAGATTTCCCTAATGTTGACGGTCTGAAACTGATCATTACAAAAAATAGCACCTTTTCCCTGTAAAACAAAAAAAAAAAGAAGAAATTTTGATTTTTTTTTTTTGCGTAATTTTTGAACGTGGTTGATGCTGGAACTTCCTTGCCTGCCCAGTTATAATGGGTCTACTGGTAATTACCGAGCCTTGTCTTCCTTCTCGTTTGTATGTACCCTTTGAACGGCATAAAAGCCACATTAAACAAGCAATCGCTTAAACCAAAGCTTTCCTCTGTTTTCTAAGCACTGGCTTTAGGGCTTCGAACACCTTTCGCTCAGACTGACCCGTAGTGAAAACTGTACCCATACACCATAATAATGCAATTATAGTAACGGCCATTTTTTTTTTTGTATTTCCTTTTTTTTTTATTCCATCGCTTTTATGTTTTTGTTTTTTTAACTTAATGTTTGCTCTACGTTTTGCAAAAAAGGAGACAGTTTGCAAAACTTTCAGCTCCGGCGCCGAAAGGTATACTGGGAAATGACTGTAAAGAATTAGCTCTAGCCCTCTAGCAGAAGACAGAGGCCTTACGTACGAGTAACGTGTTACTAGCAACGCGTTATTGTTGACAAGTTACTTTTTGTAACGAAGTAACGGACTTAGTTACTTTTTAAAAGAAGGAACGAGTGAGGTGTTCCGTCACTTTTTGATGAAGTAACGAGTAAAGGTATTCTGCCCCGAGTTTACTTTCTTTCGGTGACGTAATAAATTCAGCACAACGGCTTTGTCGCCTCATATGTGTTGATTCAAGTACATGGCATATTCTCTTTCACCCGCGTCACTTGGTAAACTCACCGGAGAGCAAGGAGAGGGGGAGTGCATACAGGACGTTCCCATAATTCATTGCACACTTCGCGCGAGACCTTTCTGGGACTTACGCGAAAGGCCCACGACTATCACGCTCGTTTCCATCGTCTCCGCTGCCGTCTCTGTCGGTGATTATGTAGACCATTCTCATAGTCGACTTCTGCGTGCTTCCACGTTTGGCTACTGGGTTGTGCGTTGTGCGTTGAGCTTGCGCCCTCTTCGTGGCTTTCTTCTGCGGAATATCAGTGGCGGCGCATATGCGTCCGCAGCCTTCAACATCTTTAGGCAGGGTCGTAAGTGCCGGGAACGATGTACTACATTACCGAGGCAGGTAAGATTAGGTACGCGATGTTTTTGAACACGATTTGTGAGAGCCCAACTACCCAGAACATAATTCGCAGCTGAAAAATCATCTTCCCACCCGAAAACCGCCGGCCGAGAATTAGCTGGTCTAAGGCGCGGTCAATTTCTTCTCCATGGTCACGTGCCGTTCAAACTAGCGTACCAAATATACCAAAGTCGTGAATCACGTAAGGCCGACATTTATGATTAAAAATTAAAAAAAATATGAAGCCCAATTTTTAGGTTTCCAAAAAACTGCAAATACGTTGATTGAAAAAAAAAAGCACAGATCACAAAAAGTACATGTACCGCGTCATTCTCAATACGACGATATTCCGCGAGTTTTTTTCTTTTTTGTGTGTCAAAGTTCGCCCGTGTTTTTTTACGGGGGCCTTGAGCATGCTCGTCACGTGGGTCCGCACAGCCACACACACACGCTCTGTTGGCTGTCGGTCAATCGCTCAAGGCCTCCGCTGCTCTTCAGGTCCCGAACACGGGAAAAGGAAAGGCTGTGTTCGAAATCTGGCCCAAACAGATCCGAGTTACTCCGGCGGGTCGTGTCACGTGATAACAAAGAGTGACGCTGGACGCGGGTAGGTTTTCGTGGCCAAAGGTACAAAACCCTTACCCTGACGTAAGATCGAGTAAAGTTGTGGACACGTCCAAGGGAGATACCAGGGCCCGGCAGGTGGCGCGTGACGTCAAGTCTGACGAGCACCGAAGTCACCGAAAAACGGAGGAAGCGAGGAGGAAAGTAGTGATGTTTTCTTGGTGATGTTCAAACGGACATCAGACTGCCGGACTGCAACCACTTCAACTTCCACATTTTTTGTAGCAGTTGTCGCCTCATGATTTGTTAAGCGTCCTTTTCGGACAGGCCTTTATGCTTCCCACGCCAAAAAAGCAAAGAAGCGAAAAAAAAAACTGGATAGGGAGCGATAGACACGTGACTTCCGGCGACTCTCTCCTCCTCCGCGTTTCCCCTCTCATCCTCGGTACGCTAGTCGGCCATGAATCTCAGTGATCATGTTTCGATTTTGAGGTATAGAAGTGTTTTTGTGGCTTTATTAAAAAGATAGCGACTCTGCAGCAAGATATTGATTGGGTAGCGTCCTAACACAATATTAAATTGCACAAGAACCAATGAATAGCAAACAGCGTGATCAATGCAAGCCACGCCCTCCGTTTCTTAAGGTGTCTGTGACGATAGAGCTCCTACATTCCAGGCGAAGCCATGGTTCTCTTGCCTGGAGACTCCGAGGAAGATGCAGACGACGAAGAAGGCGAGCGCGGCAGCGACGACGGCGGCCCTCCTCGCCCCGCTGCCAGGCTCTGGTGCTTCGTGCGGTCCCTGCGAGGCGTCGCTCCGGCCGCCAGGGGCACTCCGGCCGCGAGTCCCTTGCCGAGGGGGCTCTGCTCGGCGGTCGTGTACCAGGGGATACAGGTCACGTGGCACGACTCGCAAGCCTCACTCGTCACATCATCCCTGGGTACGTGCGCGAGGGCTGACCTCGGCGAAAATTCAACGCACTAAAATATTATTTTATACCCGTACTCACCTTAAAAACCGTAGCAAAAAAAAATGTTGTTTTGTTAAACGTTTGAGAATCTTTCTTTTTATGTGCTGAATGAAGATGCATTAACTGCATCTTGAAAATTCGTTTTATGTTATCAAGACGTGCACGTTTTAAACTCGCAAATCATCGCTTCTTTCTGAGACAGCGAAACCTCGGAAGAACTACTTTGCACAGCGCATGAATCGTGCGCAAAACGTCCTGTTTTCTTAATCTGACAACGAGTATAGTATTGTACTTTCCTATTATGGTGCAGTTGCCCTCTACTCGTCTTTCGTCCCAATTCTCTCCTCGTCTGGCGTTATCGGAGGTGGGAAGCTCGTGCGGGGAGCGAGATAGCTGAATAACTTCCCCGTCGCTCTAATCTTGACTGTAGACGAGTGCAAGCAGGGCATCTGGCGGCCGCCATGCCTCTGCTTGTGCGGCAAAGTACTATCGTGGACACTGTTAGCTATAACACGGCAGCGGCGGCCGTCCCGTACCCCCAGCGCCTCATAGCAGGCGCCGTCCGAAACCCCGCGCATGCGCCGTGTGGCGGACTCGCTCTTCCCGCCTGCGAGCACACCCTCGCTTTGTCGTCTGCTAGGCACAGAGCAGACGACGCCAAAGCGCTTGCCAATTTTCCCTGAACACGGTTCAGCAAACCACCGCGTAAGAGGTGTCCACGGTTGATTCCCTGACTCCGCTGGCTAAGGATAATCATCGCCCCTAATTGTAATATCACGGTAGACTACTTTTTTCTTCTTTTATGGGACAAACTTGCAGTTATACTCTGTTTTACTTTAGGTCTAAACGCAGCGGACGTTACGAGACGATAGGGCCAACCAAAAGCGACAAAAGCTCACTTTTTGCACCTTATTGTGTCCCCCGGTGATGCACTCCGTGACATTGCACCTTTGCGCTATTTGGTTGGCTATGTCGTTTTGCAGCGTACGCTGCATTCGGACTTTAGGTGAAACGGAGTATAAGTCTATTTCTGTATCACACCTGCTGCGCTCAAACTGGTTCGCGAGCGCATATTGTGAAAGATGCATTGCGAAATCCTGTTCCTGAAAAAGCAAAAAAACAACAACAACAACAACAAAACGTAGACAGAGTTAATGCCCCAATGACTCCGCAATCTCCCCCAATCAAAATCGCCGGTTTAAAACGAGTTTGAAACCAGTTCGCTAGGGCCAGGGTACCAGACGAGCAGCACTGTGGCATCGCCTGCTCTGCCCCTACCAGACGACAAAGCGAGGGTGTGCTCGCAAACGGGAAGACCGAGTCCGCCAAACGGCGCATGCGCGGGGTTTCGGACGGCGCCTGCTATGAGGCGCTGGGGGTACGGGACGGCCGCCGCTGCGGTGTTATAGCTAACAGTGTCCACGATAGTACGTGCAAGCGCAAGCTTGCCAAATCTAGGTTCACGCTCACGCTGCAGGGGTTTGCATGCATGGGGCACCAGTCGGGCGCCATATCCTAGCAATGGTCTATACAAGACGAATCTATACTCCGTCCCACTAAAACCGTGCAGTACAGCCAAAGCTACAGGGGAGAGAGTGTATCGCGACGTGTTCAAGAGGAGGGAAAAGAGGAACGGGGGAATCCCAGCCCTTCTACTTCCGTTCCTCCTTTCCCTCCTTTTGAACAAGTCGGCATACGCTCTCGCCCTTGTGGCGTTGGCTGTACTGCATGGTTTTAGTGAGACGGAGTATAGGAAGAGTGAAATAAACGGAGATTTCAACCGCCGCTTCGCTAAAGTCTCCCAATGCTCCCTATTTAGCAGAAACAAATTAAACTTCGGATTGTTGTAAGGAGTTGGCACGTACTGCGTAGGTTTGTGGGTTTTAAAGCGTAAATATATATTTAAATATATATATATATATATATATATATATATATATATATATATATATTACGAAATTTGTAGTTCCCACCTTTTGTCCAATAGTCTATCCGTCTGTGCATTTATCGCCATATTTAGCGGGGAAACTGACGTCGCTCGACTTATATATACACAAATTTAAGTTCCTTGCTGAATCTACTAAACAAATGATTAAATTAAAGGTTGTTCTTCACTTCCAGAAACAAAACAATTTGTGTTCTAAGCAAATTTTTAAAAATTCGTTTTTTTTTTCTTTTTTATTTGGCCCTCTGTTGTTCCAGCAGCTTCGGGAGACCTCGAGAGGCTGGCTTCTCTGCGCGACTTCGAGCCCCTGCTTGAACTGCACGTTCACGCGGTCAGCGCGAACGTGACTAAGGGCTCCACAGGTAAGAGCGCAGGCGGTTTCTTGATGTCGACAAACATATAAGTATCTTCTGAAGCAATGGTGAGGGTGGAGACTGTACTTTGTCTCAGCTTAAGTCCAGACGCAGCCGACGCTACGAGCTAATGAACAAATCAAGCAACGTCGTAAAAGCAAGTCACTGGAATCCATCAGCTCTTTGCGTCGGCTGCGTTAAAAAGGCGATGCAACGAGTTTTATACTTTGCGCTAATACCGCTTAGAAGGGATCCTTGAAGTTAATGACCTGTAAAACACCCGTTTGTTTTTCATTACACACAATCAAAGTCGCAGACAAAATGAAAAAAAAAATGAAAAAAGGTCCGAGGACATTTAAGCACTTCTTATGAGTTGTGAATGCGAAAGCACATCGTTGCAGCTAATTTCAGGAGGTCTAATAAAACGCAGTGACAGCGAAATCAGTGACAGCGACGAACATACTAACTTAGCTCCAGCTCGAGTGACGACGAGGCAGCCGTTCTCGGCGAAGTTTGCCTTGCCAGCGAAAAGGCCCAGGATATCGCGTTACGTCGAAGGCATTGTGCAGCGCCTATTCGGATGTAGAGCTAGGTATGTCGTTTGTTCGTTTTGCAGTTTCTGTAATGTAATTCGAATAATTCGAAGACAATACGCCAAACACTCCGCAGATGGAAGTCGCCTTCGGAGATGCTGATCGCTTTGCGGCCTAGGTGTTTGGTATTGCTTAATAGCGTCCTATACGGCTCGTACAGGCGTCCTACCGCTCGTACAAGTTGTCTCCATCTGACTTATATAACTGTAAGGAACAATTAATTGTGTCTTAACGTCGGGGTCACCGTTAATCAAGTAGTAAACAATCAATCTTTTTTTATCAAAGCATAAACTTCATGCCTTTAGCAAGATAGCAGTGGGAACCGAAAATCTTAAAAAGCGAGAGCAGACGTTCTGGAAGCGGTGGCGCTGGGAGCGTTATGCTCGATTTGCTCCGCAGCGCGTGCCGCCGGGATGGATCACGTGACCGATCGCTCACGGAGGCCCACCAGTGGACCCACCGCTCGACGGCCGCTAGCGCGGAGCGCTTGGCATTTGCCAGGGGAAGGGACTATTAGTTTGTCTGCAGCGTAGTGGCGTAGATGGCCAGGTTTCGCTGCTGCCGAGGTAGCGGCCGACGGCCACGCGCGCGTTCTTGTGAAGTGGCCACGCCACGCTGAGTTTGGCCGTGCACCCTCTCCGGAGTTTGCCCGAGAGGGCTGTGCCGCTGTGTGGCCAGGTCCGAACTTCTGAAGGCTGTTTCACATGCTGCGATTCTCGTCGGAAATCTGTGCGATCTCCAGTAAATGTGCGATTAACATCGCAGTCGCGCTTTCGCAGAGGCTCTGCAACTGGTTTCCACCAAGTTGGTATTTCGTCGCAGAGTCGGTGCGATCACTTCATTGTCAAGCAGCCGTTCATTAGCCAGCTTTCATACGCGAATGTTGCGTATTCGAAAATAAATTTAGACACCTTAAAAGTTTTGGCTTAATGCTTTATTATTAAAAATTTCTAATTACATATTCTATTCGTAAAACATCTGTGTTTATTAAGACGTTTTTGTTGTATTTTAGGCAAAGTCAAACGTGTCGCGTCCGTGTCCGAACAGCCGGCCGCGCCGACAGAAATCGCGCGGTTGTTTGAGCATTTGAAACCAAACATTGTGATCGCACTCGGTGCGCCGGCTGTCGCACCGATTATTTTCGCAACAGTCGTTGCATGTGAAACAGACTTTACCCGCGGCCGGGCCGCTGCATGCGCTGCGCCGCCATGGAGAGGGCTTCTCTGGTGGTGTTTTTCCGAACTACGCCGCGCGAGAGCCAATGGGAGCCTCGTTCCTTGATTACGCGCGCCAGCCAATGGGAGCCTATCCATCAGATTGCGGCTTCACGTCCCTCCATTGGGACAGGGGAGTTTAGGTGCCGTTTGGCGAGGCTTCAAAGCTGATGACGTTGTTTCGCTCTATGGGACCAGCTACTTCTTTCGCATTAAAACGAGCAGCGTTCATCCCCTCAACCCGCAGCCGGAACAAGCGTCCACCATATCTGGAGCCGAGTATTGCCGTCAATGTCGATCATAGCCACGCGCTAGGGTTGGCAAAGCACAGGACACGCGCTGAGTTCCAGACATTCTTATGGCTTGGCTATTGTCGTCATTGCAGCAATTGGACACGGGCCACTGCCTGAATGCTTCTAAAGCTATCGATTATCACGAGCCCAAATCGAGTGCCCACGCAATCCTTGCTCATGTCCAATCTATGGGATGCATTCAAATACCCTCAATGGGCAATACTGCGACCGCCCAGCTACGTCATCAATTTTCGCGAAGGAGAAATTAAATTAAAACGCTCACTCTGTCCTTGAAATTGTACCGAAACAAAGGAGTTTATTGGCCAGTGGCTTTCCGTGCGAGTATCCTTGAGTCCCACTAGTGCCAGTAAGCTCGTGTAAAGTGAAAAACATTCCAATAAAATATCGTTGCACCACCTCTTTAAGGTAAAGTGAAGTATAGCCGGTGAATATTGAGCATTTTATTAAAGGGAAGCTACGGAGCTTCTTGGGAAAAATGAGTTAGAAGTGAATTCTAGTGTATTTTTACCCTGTGAACCCGAATACCCAAAACATTTGCTGCGTAAATATCAGACAGTCGCTGTCCGTGACGTCATCGACGGCTCTTTTGGCTGCCCAAGGCTAGGGGGGCGGGGCTTCAGCCCTATTTTGAAATTGCTCCTGTGGCTCTCCGGCGCGTCGCATTGGAATATAATTTTGATATATGTTATTCTAAAGGCCAAATGAACGAAATTCAAGCGTTTTTTCTCAAATGTAGAAGTGCCCCATCTTCCCTTTAAATCTGACACTGGAGAAAAAAGTACAAGGACAGAAACACACTTGTGTTTCTGCCCTTCTCCCTTTTTCCTCAGTCTCGGTTTTACCAAAATGTACATTTATATTCAAACTTGTATTTCCTTTTTAAAAGAAATGGAAAAGGCAAAATAAAATGCGAGCCGTTGTAAAAAAAGAAAAAAAAAAGAAAAAAAACCCAGTTGAGACGAGTCTGGTTGAGTTGCCATTAAAACGTATGTGCGTTTTAGTGGCAACCCAACATAAAAAAATATATTGCTTCACAAAGAGAAGAAAAGGCTCATGGTATACATTGTTATATTTTATAGCGCAAATACGATCTCACTAAAAACAGATTTATGATTTCTATGCAGTAAGTTAAAAATGACACGGAGCAACAGTTTTTTTTATGTCTCATATTTCGTGTGATTTCCGGTTGGTTTTTCCAGCATTTGTTCCTGCCTTTATGTGTTCGACAAACCGTCTGCGTTGGAAGAAAAAAGAGCGCGAGTGCCCATCTAGTAAAATTATTTCATTGTGTGCGTTAGATAAATGGTTAGATGGATCTGTACTCAAATTAATGAATTCGAGAATATATCTATACGTCAACGTACACTGCTTGACATTAGTAAATCAACGAACCCCGTGAAGTCCAGGAATGTTGACTTTACGGAGTTCGTGCCTCGCGCACCTTGCAGATAGCTAAAGTTACACAAACTACAGAAAATTCAGCAGAAGCAAAATACATACATACATGAAAGATATTGAGGTTTTACAGGTTTACATAAAATACTATACAAAAATTAGATACAATGACTGAAGATTTATAGAGTAAATGACCACGTCATCTAGGCAATATCTATTGAGCAATGAGGGTGATTGTTTTAAATACTGGAAACTGTAGTTTCTGCGAATAGGAAACACTTTCCATTCCTCGAACTACGGGTGCAGGTGATGGGGATATTTTTAATAATCTTGATGTTTGTTAAAGAAAGGTAATCAACTCAAGAGCAGAGAAATTAAATGGTCAAGTCAAAACATAGAATCGATGTATATGTATGATTTTATATCGTAAAAATAAAGTTTCTCTGTGAGGTAAAGAAATAAAGGATTCCAATAAGATGCAGAACTATTTTTTTAAATAATATTTTGTTAAGATGTTTTCTAGCGTATCCACTCCATTTAACGACGCGATGTCAAACGTCCCGAGTCTCGCCGTCAACACTCTCCTTGTCCTTAGGGTAGCCAATTCAAATAAAAGGACTTTTTTAATGTTTTTTCTCGCCGAATAAAGCCAATTCGAACTCATCGCCAAAAAGATTCTAATTCCAATTCTAAAGCATAATTTCCACGAATATCGCCTGCTCCTTTAGCAGACGAACTGTTCAGTCACGGTGGGGATGCGGCCGCCACATTTAGCGCTTCCATTCTAACAAAACGCGACAAAATCTGATTAGTTCTACCAATTTGCCTTCACGCCCTTTCTGGAAGGGGAAATGTTTCTTTCTTCAGTTCTGTAAAATTACCAAACGCAGCTCCCCCCCCCCCCCCCCCCGAAAAAAAAAAAAAAAAAAAAAAAATTGCCCCTTTTTTACACACTTTACGAAGCCATTGCGTATTTCCATTGCCAGGGGGTGCGACCTGCACCGATCGTCTGCAAACGCGGTTCTGTAAAAGCCGTTTCAAGGAAAACGATCCGTCCAATCTCTTATTTCAAGGTACCGATCGCTTGGTCTATCGAATGTGTTTTATTCTATTTCCCTAAAACTTTCTAGTATCGATAGTCTCATCAATTTTTTTTTTTTTTTTTTTTGGTTTGAACGCGAACATGAACCGCTTGTCGCCGGCGCTTTGCAATGGAACGCGTTGGGGGAGTGAATAAAGACAAAGTCAGATAGCTATAGCTTCGCTCCTAGTACCAGTGTTGCACAAAATACTCAATAAGAGTATTCAAGTTAAGTTACTAAATACCTGCTTCATAAAGTATTTAAAATACTACTCAAGTTACTTTGACTGTAAAGTATCTTGAGTAGAATACAAATACTTCTTAATGTAATTCAATTACTTTTGAAGATACTTCCGCATTGCGTAATTTGTATCAACGCCAGTGAAGATGACAATTATACAGCTGCGCAAATCTGGGTTACCAGAATGGTTTATTAGCACGCAACAACACAAAACGAAAAAAAAAGTATCGTAGGGCTATTTTATGCAGTCCAACTATAAGAAGCAGGATAGTGTCACGAATGACAAATGATGAGGCGGCGAATAACTAAAGAAACTATACGTTTAATGGGGCGAACTTCTGCCCAAAACAAAATAGAGAAAGGCTAGCGGAGCAGTCGTCGATGTCGGCGAAACAGCAGGATCGAGCGCTGGGGCAAGACTGACTCCGGACCGCCGCTCGGAGCACCTTTTGACCCGCGTCGGTTTCTGGAACATTCGGCGTAGAACGTTCGGCGCGTAGGACATTCGTAACTCGATCCGACGACACGGTTCTCGAGCTTACAAGAATGTGAAGTTGAAAGAATAAATAAAAGAGGAGTTAGGTCCCTGGTATCGAACCGGGAGCTTTCGAGCGAGAACCAAGCACAGCAACCATTCGGCCACGTGCTCGCTCAGCAACGCGCGTGGCAATGATGCATGTTGCAAAACATTCCTGGGACAACAAGAAAGAGGTCTCTTTAGCTATTGGGGAGGAGATCAGACCGTGGAGCCCCAAGCGGTTAACTTTAGAACTACATGGATGGGGACAACAAATGCAATGACTCAGCGCTCGGCTGACTTAACTAAACCCGGCGTCAGCGTTCGGCTAAGGTTCGTGTTCTCCGGTGTGAGGGAGGGGGGGGGGGGGGGGGGGGTCTTTTGTTTCCACTCCGGCCTGCATAACAATGCAGCATGCACGGTGCCCAGCTCAGCACAAAAGCCCAACTGTGTCAAGCTCGCATCCTCTCATGACTGCTTTCTTGAGAGATCCGGCACTTAACGTCACTTTGCTAATTGTAAGTATTTTTACATTACACTGTACCCCACCCTTTATTAAAAAAAATATAACATGGCCATGCCCACAAGGCCTGTGGGCATGTGCACAGGCCTTGTGTTGGGTAAGCACCGAGGTGTTGGGGCAACAAACGGGTCAGAGCGCCTCGCCAATAATGACATCGCCGAATATCACGTCCTGCTGCACACCTTAGACACATCGTGTACCTATAATTCATATTCCCTATAGGGGGAGTTCACTATAAACGAACTTGGGATACGAATATGAGTGACTGGATAATAAAGAGAACCCACATAATATCCACGGCACTGATTCGCACCTTCTTCAAGTATGTTGCGTTCAGAGAGGCACTCAACGTTGGGGGACACTTTGTTGGCATTTTGAGGGGTCATACAGCTCGTAGTTCGCTTCCTGTCCTGGTCTCTGCTTATCAATGTTCGCTTACAGACAGTGTTCGCGGGAGCAATAGGCGACGGATTGACGACGAAGAGAAAATATACAAAAAAGCAAACCAAAAATGTTTTTTTTGTATGTGTGCCCCCTACTCATTTTCTTTTATTTGTTATTTTCTTGTCACTCAAGTCTGCATTGTTGTCGTAGGTCGTTTGCCGGTCTGCCTCAGTGTGGCAATCTTTACTTCCGTAAAACCACTCCTTTTGTTAGAAGATTTTTTGGGGAAAACTTTTGGAAACAAGAGGCGCCTTTGGGAAGGCGAAGAGAAAACCTTCATTTACGAACTTTGGGCTGAAATATGAGTCACAATCGGCAAGAAAGCGATGTTTTCACGGGCTCAGTCAAAGTCACCGTAGGCAATTGGAGGTAGCAACAGCTAGGATATGGTTGCCCGAAAGAATGTTCACGCTTGCTCGTGCCACGCCCACGCCACTTTATACCGAAACACTCGGAAAATGGCGGAATGCCAAAAATGGTGTTTGAGATAATGAGTACAAGATACTTAGAAATGTATTTAAGATAGAGTATCAAATACTCTCGATCAAAATTATTTGCAAGATACCAAGATACTTCAAAAAGTATTTAAAATACAGTATCTTGAGTAGAGTATTTGAAATAGGCACAAGTCTGGCTCCTACCCATTAATAATTCCAGTCGGAGCTCGGGGTTCTCTCGCCCTCGCGCGCTCGCGTTTTTTTCTCTCCCTGGGTTTCTCGTTGCATGTCCTCTCGTCAAGGGACCGTTCCATGGTCGCGCCTCAGGTGGTTCCGGTCGGCGCCCCAGTGCTGCCCTGCGGTCGCTGCTTCGGGCTCCCCAGGGTACGGTCGAGGGGTTCGCCATGCGCTCGGCCCGCTGGCTGGCCGACCGGCACGTCGACGGCCTGGTGCTCGAACTGGGGCGCTCGGTGCAAGCGCTGCCCACGGAGCTCATCACGCGCCTCGCCGAGGTATACGTCGAACACATCCTCATTGTATTGGCATTGGTTTACTGCAGAAGCTATCCGTGACGGTGCTGCGCTTAGTGGAGGCGCGCGAACACATGCAATGAAGGCCCATGCACAGAGTTGCGTTTGAGAGCGTTTGAGCGCGTGGATTCCAGGGATTGGCCCTAGATCTCTTTTGACCGTACACATTACTCAAATAATGCGCTAATCCGAGCCGGCCGAAGCTGACGGCTGCCCGTCGATGCAGCTTTGTCACCGTCAGCTGGGTCGCGTGGGCAAGTCGTTCACCCTGCTACTGCCCGGGTCGACGTCACTCTTCGTCCAGTACGACTTGGACGCCCTGCTTACCACGTGAGGATCCCGCAAGACTGCGCACTTTTCTCGAGTTCCACAAATTAGCGTTCCGACAGTTTCGGAACAAACACCAAAGGCGATGGTATTTTCATGCCCTGGAAGTTGCGCTTTCATCGTGCATCTATATAATAGTGTTTTCTTTTTTCTTTTTTTTTTTCGTCGCATACGCGCGAGCGAAGCCAAAGCTACATAAATCCGAGTTCCAACGTTTCGAGATGTGCACGCTAAAACGTTGTTCGAAGCAACGTTCTCCCACTTATGAGCCCCACACGCCGTTTTTAAACCCGTTTATAAATTCCTTCACGTTTAAAAACCCCCACGCAGACGTCACACCGCGGCGGTGTGACGTCATGGTCGGGTGTTGGTGTTCCTTTCGCCCTTCCGGCGGAACGGGGTGTACGTATTGGAAAAGAACGTCGAAAGACGGCTAGAGAAATGTGCCGTATACCAAGCAGCTTTGTATCGGCGCTTATGCACTGTGTAATATAAGCCCTAGATTGCCTAAGCCCTAGAGAGCTATGTTTGGTCAACAAGATATTTTTTCTTACTAAACGTTTTTCCGTTATATTCACTCGTGGCTTATGATGTATCCCTTAACTGCTTCTCGGTTCGCTTCACGGCGTTCTTTTCGGCTAATGTTGTAATCTCAATATCTCCGTAGCGATTATAAGATGTGAAGGACTAGTTTTTGAAGCGTACGATCGAAATCTGTCAGAACGTTTTTGTTGATGTTAACTGGGAGAGCGCGTTTGCGCCCGCGCGTGCTTAGGAGGGGTCTGCATCCGATCCTGAGGACAGACGCTGACGGCGCCCGCCCAGTTGCCACCTGTCCGTCACCTCTCAACGCGCCCGACTTCGGAATCGTGAGTGAACTTCCTTCACCTGTCATGTGATCGAATTCGAGGAACGGTTTAAACAAAAACGAAGACGTACTTTTTCCCGACATTGTCAGGACTTTAGACCGAAGAACACGGATAATGAACAACAGAGAGAAAGGCCTCTCGTTCGTTTTCATTGTTAATTCACCCACTTTTTTAAGTACGTTTAGCGGATGAGTATGAAACGTATACTATACTATATGTGTGGTGAAATTTTATATTCTCGACCCGTCTTGGGTCTTCATAGTGTTAAGAATCCACCAACTCGCCTTGTATCATAGCATCCTTTATACTCACAAAGCCTGGCAGTTCGACGACGGAGCCATAGAGCGCATGGTCACATATTTGGAGCGCCAGGATCTGGTAGCACAGAGCATTTCTTGGGGAAGATGGTAGTGAGTGCATAGCTTTTGCAGCGGCGAGGACGCGCGAGGAACGTGAGGAGCACGAGCGGACATTCCATCGCTCGAGAGAAGTGTGTTTCGGCGTCTCGCCGCAGCGGGGCGCCCGTTACATGACTTTCCTCTCATCCGTTGTCTGCCGCTCTACCTTTTCACTTTCGGCGGCCACGTCTCATGGCGCTCTGCCACGCTTTGTCAGTATAGAGGAGGCTATGCTTGTCTCTTTGTTATCATTTTGGTGCTTTGTTGTCTTCCCTTGTGTGACTTTTTTCCCCTTAGTCTATCTTTATATTGACATGTTTCAGATTAAAAAAAAAAAACATGTATTCTGCATGAAATTTTTCTGCCCCCCTTAATGCGTTAGCATTAGAATGCTCGTTCTGGCGAAAACCCGGCGGTGTCTTCCGTTTGTCAGCTACGGGGAGGAAGGGAGAAGAGCGGGGAGAGGGTGACGCGCATGACGCCCCCATTGGTCCGAAGCGGTGACGTCACCAAGCGACAACCTCTCCCCTTTTTCTACTTCTCTCCCCGTACCTCACAAGCTGAAAGACACGGCCGGATTTTCGTTAAAACGAGCCCTTTCGTGTCCGTCAAAGCCACGCGCACAGCTGGCGCGGAGCCAAAGAGGAGGAGACGCCGCACAACACCTCCTAAATAACAAAGCCGTGGTGGTGAATGAGATGGCTTAATTATAGAAGGCCAACACTGGACACAGATTGGAAAGGACTACCGCATAAGCGTTCGGCTTCCAGTCAAGGTTAAACTTTGAACCGAAGGTTGACGTAATCGTTCTGTCCAATCTGGGCTAAGCGTTGGCCTTCTCTCATGACGCCATCTCATTCAGCACAACGGCCTTGTTAACTAGGAGGTGCTGTGCCGCGGCGCGGTGGAGTGCGGGCGCAGTGACGTCACTACGGTAAGCGGCACCCAAGGCGGTAGCCCGCCGGCCCCCCCCCCCCCCCCCCCCCGCCCCTTAAAGGGACCATGAAATGATTTTAAAATCGAGTTTCATCCACCCCACGTCGTAAAAGGTGTGAAAAGAAACACAAAAACACAAAACTAGGGAGCCAAAAAAAAATTATTTGATATAGAACTTTTAAAAGAAAACTGGACTCTTTTGCGCCTTCCTTCCTTCGCCTGTTCACTACGATGCATCCGCGGAAATGGAGCACGTCAGCCAAATCCAGGTCGCCTATTGGGTAAGAGCCTACCTCACCAGCACCGCGATCGTAAACAATAAATAGCCGGCGAATGTTTCCTAAAAGTTTTGTTAAATAATATTCAGATCCACATTTTGTAGCATAATTAGAGATGTGTGGCGAAAATTGCCAAATTTGATAATGCTGAGAGCCAGGCGCCATCTATCGTGTGGTAAACGAAGCAACTACTGCGCGTGCGCGGTCGGGCAGGGCCGACAGTTACTTGGGTGGCGGCCAGCGACGAACGTTTATTTTCTTTGTTTTCCTTCCTCTCAAAACTCTGACTGACTGAACGTTTATTCTTCTACGTGTTCTTCCCGCGCGTGCCGACTTCAAGCAGCAAGAAAACAGTACTTAAAACAGACCACGACGAACAAGAACGCTGGATCCACCGACTCCGACGAAGCGTATAGGCCTAGCAGGCATTCCGACTCGGCGCTGCGTTGCTTCGTCGCAAGACCGTCTGCCTACGATCGGCTGGCGTGCTAAATGGAATATGCCCACGCGACCCTTGTGGACCCTTCCTGTATTATAGTTCGATCACTGACCTCAATTCTAGATTGAGGTGAGGTCAATCTCTTCCCCTTGTTTTCCGTGGCAGTGTTGACGAACACTCGTCGAAAAGGGACTCTCGTCGATTCTATCTTGTTTTGTGTGATATAGAGCTGAAATAAACGCCGTATGGATTACCTTCGTAACACGGTATGTACACTTTGTTATTGGTATGCCATTTTTATTCTGACAGACTGCACGTCACTGTCGAGCTATAACAGTTCGTGGTCCAACCTTTCTTTGCCGAGCTATAACCCCGGTCCAACCTTACTTTGCCGAGTGTCGCGTCAGTATCGAGTTGCAATCGTAAAAGAACGGTCCCGAAGCGCTTACAAACAGCGCGAATACAAGACTTCCATCAAGCGCGCGCGTCCGCTCCGAGTGTAAGCAGGTATTTACGTGGCTCTTGCTGACACTCGTAGTTCAAACGTATCTTTTTTAACGTCGGCTCGCTCCTGCATCTCCGAGGCCGCGAAAAACGCCATCTACGTCGCTTTGCAAACGACTGACACGGGCCGGCCCTTCTGCCAACAATGACGGGGTGGTTGACTTCTGGAGTCTTCACCGGAAGACTCGCTGCACTTCCCAACAGGCATATCGGCGTATGGGACTAGTCCCATGCTGTCGCTGTAGCGCAACATATCTCATTGAATTTCGCTCAGCTGCGATGCGGCGATGAGAGGCGCCGATTCAGGAAATACGTCGGTGACATCAGCGCAGTAAAACCTACCGGCGCACCCCAACTCGTTGCCGCTAACACTCCCATTCTCCTACTGCCGAGAGAACTTCCGGTTCCGGAAACGGCCTACGTCACGGCTTCTTTTGCGGTCAGTTGGAGAGAATGAAAAAGTCGATATTTCAATAATTTTTTGTGTAGACGTTAATAAACCAAAACGAAAACGGATGCCTGTTCGGCATTCAGTGAACATTGACGGTTTAATGTAAAAGTTATCTGGAAAAAGTAAAAAGGTCATTTCATGGTCCCTCACAACCCCCCGCCCCGCTCTTGTGGCGCCACTGTGCGCGCGAGCTCAGTTGCCGCTCTGCCGTTGCAGATTGTTCTTCGATCTGGGTTTACGTAGGAGCGGTGTGTGGGCTGTGATGTGTGTGAGTCATTAAAACGATGGATACGGTTCACTCTACGAGTAATATGAATGCGGTTTTTTTCCATGAGTAATATGGAAGACCGTATCCAGGGGCGACAACGTACTCTGGCAGGCAGAGTGTACAGTAAAGGGGTAGAAAAGCTACAAGAAGAAGATCCATTGGTGAATTCTTAGGGAATTCGTTAGCAAGACCCTTGGGACGTGACACAAGTCCACCTTTGGGAAACGGCACCTGTGACCCCGTAGCAAGGCCAAGAAGAGGCAGCAAAAACTAAAGGAAGCAAAAGAGAAAGTCAAAAGAAAAAAAGTGAAGGGGTCTGCGTTAGCGTTTTCGAAAGGAGGACGTATGTGGCGCTTCCCAGGGTCATGCTAACCTATTCCTTAAGAATCCACCAAAATATCTTCCTGTAATTTTTACTCTTATCTTCTTTGATTCCTAGCAGAATAGCCGCTCCCGGCTTCGGCACTAAAGCAATAAAGCAGTGCAGATCTCTATGAAGGTATTAAATAATAATGCACGTACGAGTGCTTTATACATAATTATACAATGCATAGGTGCATGGTTTAGATTTTTTTTAAAAGAAAGAGTAGAGATCAGGTTGTTTTTGTCCCGGAACTCGATGGGCACCTTGGAGGGTGTCTACCGTCGGGAACTGGGGGTGATCGTGGAAAGTGTGGCCCGGATGCAGGTGGGAGATGAAGACTTCTTGTTGCGGCCGACCGCGAAGGGTTAACGGACTTGGAGGCGAAGTTGTAATGAATGCAACAAACAAAAATAAACTTTACTTCAACAAAAATAAACATTTACTGAAAATTAAATGACACACTGTAACCAACTGCCGCGCATGGCTTGCATAGTTAAGCAGTTACGAAAACGAACACCTCGGCGTCAAGTGTCCTGCGTACGTTGAGGACGGCAGCTAAGCCGCAGAGCAGGGGCTGGCGCGCACGACGGAGGTAACGCGCAAACCGCGGGAAAGAAATACTGGGCCACTCGGGCCCGTTCAAACTCAACGATTTTCCGTCCGGTCGGGGGTTATGACAGCGTGCCGAAATCTGTCCCATCAAATCAGGGTTTAGTTAGAATCCCACTGGGTACAGACCCCGACACACTCTCAACAAATCGAATGGACAAAACCACCCTCACCATGAGGCCAAAAGGTCAGCTCCCAAGGACAGGTCCCACGGCTAGAGCCCGAAAATTGATGCACGAGCCCTGGTAGGTTCAGGGTCGGAGAAAATAAACGGACTCCGAAGATTCAAGCGACAATCGCCAGGACGTGCCTCACGGAGTAAACCGTCCCTCGGAGTGTGGGCGTTAGGCACGTTAAAAGCAATAGATAGACGGATAACTTACCAAAAACAACACACGTGTGTCTCACGAATAAAAGCGCCGCGAAGGACCACCCAGGGTTACAAGAAAACGAAGACCACCTTTGGGGTTCATCCGAAGTTGCGTTTACGTCTGCGCGTAAACATCGGTCGCGCTCGGAGCCGCTCCGGCTAGACTCCCACAGCCACTGGAACATGATGCGCGGTGTCCGCCGGTGTCGCCTGCGCCGAGACCCGCGTGCGCGACACTTCGTCCAGTTTACGAAGCGGCCTGCCCGTTGATGAGGTCACTTAGGAGTTTTGCTGGCTGTTTAGCTTTGCGGGTCTGGAGTCCCCGCCCTTGGGTTAGGGGGCAGACCTGCGTCAATGACCCGCCGTGGGAAAGACATAACCGCGCCCGTGGTGAAAAAACTACAGGTAAACAAATTATCTAAACAAAACGCCGTCTCGGCGGCGCGCGAAAATGTGACCACCTTTAGAGCTTTTGGAAAAATATCTTATTTAAATATAAGCACGGCAGGGAAACTTTGGTGGCGTGGGAAACCCCCGAGGGTACTCTGGGAAAACTCTGGGTTCCCAGGAACCCTGTCTAAGACAAACACACGTTCTGGATCGCCGTCACCTGGAACGAGCTAGTCGGTCTCCCAAGAAATGGTTGACATACTCTCCCATCTCGCGCACGCAGGAGCGGGTACTGAACCGAACCCGCGCTGCCTTGGGAGTCCGACGCCAACGCCAGGGCCTGTCGCGGCTGCTGTTCTCGGTCAGTCTGGCCGCGGCTCAGTACACCCTCGACTCGGAACCCAAGGACAACGCAACGGCAGCCTTTAGCCCGGCCTCGTTTCGCGGATACATCACTTATCCGGAGGTAACCGCCAAGAAACACCTCTAGATAAAATGTGGATGAAAGAAGATCCACTGATTCTTCGGGAATGCGTTAGCATGACCCTTGGAAACACCACACACATCCGCCTTTGGGGAAAGCTAACGCTGACCCCTTAACTTTTTTTCTTTTGGATTTCTCGTTTGCTTCCTCTATTTTTTGCTGCCTCTTTTTGGCCTCGTTGCGGGGTCAGTGTCAGCGTTTCCCAAAGTGGGACGTGTGTGGCGTTGCCCAAAGGTCATACTAACCGATTCCCCAAGAACCCACCAATGAATCTTCGTGTAATTTGTTTCACCCCTTTTTTGTTCTCTTCCTGTTGACAGCCCTACCACATTCATGCCATTAGTGAAAGGAACCGTATCCATATCACTCGTGGAGTGAACCGCATCCACCGTTAAAACTACAGGCACATATCACAGGCCAAGCACAGCTACTACAGAAATCCAGAGTGAAGAACAACTGGCGACAGCACAGGCGTCAACTGAATATGCTCGCATTCCACCGCGCCGCGGCGCTGCACCTCCAAGATTACAAAGCCGTGCTGAATGAGATAGCATCATCAGAGAAGGCCAACTCTGGGCACAGATTGAACACGACGATTGCGTCAATGTTCGCCTCAAACTTGACTCGAAGCCTAGGGCTGACGCAGCGCTTGTTTCCAATCTGTGTCCAGCGTTGGCCTTCTCTGATTAAGCCATCTCATTCAGCACCACGGCTTTGTTATTTAGGAGGTGTTGTGCGAAGCCTCCTCCTCTCTGGCTCAGCGCCAGCTGTGCGCGTGACTTTGCCGAAAACGAAAGGGCTCGTTTCGACGAAGACCCGGCGGTGTCTGTCAGTTTGTCGGCGCCAGAAAGAGAGGGAGAGGTTGACGCGTCCTCACGACAGCGCTTCGAACCAATGGGAGCGTCGCACGCGACAACTGACAAACGAAAGACACCGCCGGGTCTTAGTCGAAACGAACGTTCTTAGTGTTAACGCATTAAAAAGAAATGCGGTGTGGTTGCGTCCTTCTTGCCTCTCGCGAACTTTTAGCTTGGTATCTTTGCTCGGCCTGGCGGTCGGAATTTGTCCCGCAGTTCAAATTTGGGCGGATTTTCGTACTCGGCCCCCTCGGTGGGACGGTACGGCTAGTGGAGCGCGCTGAACAATGTGCTTCGATATTAAAGTTCGAGGTTCCGGTAGTGATGCCGCATTATGCTCTGTTCACCCTTAAGCTGATACTGCAGCCAAAGCTACAACGGTAGCTAGCCCGCGCTCCTGTCTTTTAAGATGTGCATTTCTAGCGCGAGTGCTCATTTTGTGGAAGAACGCTTCAAAGTAGCGACCTCGAGCTCTTGTGTGAGTGCACGTGGTATTGGCTGCAGTCTCAGCCTAAGGGTGAATGGAGCATAGGTGATATGATAGCCTGTGGCATAGCTGTGGTAACGCTATGCCAAGACGGTTTATGCTTGGTGGCAACTTTTTATTGCATTTCCAAAGAAGCGAAGACCGCGCAGGCACAGCTGAGATCGGCGCTCTATGTGCCCATAGTTAGGTTCCATCGCTAAGAAACATTGTACCCAAGTCATAGGAAACGTCGGCGATCGTTGTTGGCGCGGACTTGAAACATGGTGTGCTCAGGTGGGATTTGATTTATGATACTTTTAAGTTATCAATCTGTCGCGTTACAACCTTGGGCCCTAAACTGGACACGTGACAAAAAAAGTCGGCGAGAAATCAAGCGGTTGTGATTGGCCGCGGCGTTAAGGTCAACCGCGGCGTTGGCCAATCACGGCCGTCCGATTTCTCGCCGAAGTTTTGCCAAGTGTCCAGATTAGGGCCCCTGGTGTGGGTACATTGCCTGCCAACAGGACTTATGCGTGAAACATGTTCGCTAGAGGAAGCGTGACGGCCCATTCTACCCATTCCTTTTAATCATTCTCTCTGTGATCAGCCTTCTGTGACGAGTTTATTGATGAGAACATTCACCGACCAACAAAGAAACATACTTATTGATTGACTAGCCCGGTTGATCGGCCTCATTATGATCTATTCGACTGATCTTAATTCACCCCACAGATGTGCAACCTGGTGTTGTCGGGGGGCTGGAAGGCTCGCCCCAACCTGGACACTGACTGCGCCGAGGCGTTCCTGGGAAAGCAGTGGGTGTCCAGCTTCGCTCCGTTCAGCGGCGACTGGCTCGTGAGTATACATACGACCGGCACCACGTAATCTCCGCATGGCTCTTCTGGCGCATCTCAATACCAGGATGATGTAGAGTGACGCGGGGTATGAAGGATACACCGGTATTGCGTGTTTTCTCGGGGTGATAAGGGGACGCGCGTTCAAGGGCGACACCGTCCATATAGTCGACAAAATCGTAAAAAATGTCAGCTGCGCAACGATATTAAGATACCCGAGACTCACTCTGCAATGGGTTTCTTAAGTTGTCACTGACTGGAGATGGAAGGCCTTAGTACATATTGTCTGCGTCACGTAGAGAGGTGAGGACCGGGTGCAAATTTGACACGAATACTGCGTCAGCGTTCCGCTGGGACTCACCTTCGTTATGCCATACAGACCGCTTTATGGAAAGAGGGCAAGAGAGAAAAAAGGAAGGACTGCTTGGACTTTGCTCCTGGTTGTGTGTTTAGGAACGACCGAGACCCGTATGAACGCCTTGGAATCGTGTGTTTCTCCACGTTTGGTTGTATTCTTCGCGGTTTCCTCTATTTTATTTTTTTTTTCAGATGCAATTAGAGCTAGCGGAATCAATGACGACAATCCCCTGGTCATCTAGACATCATTGTTCGGTAATAGGCTTCGCGATTAACGACTGAAAGCGCAGAATATTATCGGAGGACATCCGTATCGCGCAAGACAACTGTGGCTGCAATGTCTTCAAACTCCATCGCTCTCCGAATGACCAAAACCTCCGGCGGCAGTGGGTTACGTCCGTAAACAGAAAATGCTTTTCCGCGACGTCACCCTCTCGACTGTGCTCGTAGCATTTTGTGAATAGAGCGCGCACCGAAATCAACATGGGCTACGCTCGCAGGGGAGGGGGGAAAGGAGGGGGGTGCAATTTTTCTCGCGAGAATTGCTGTTTCAGCTTGTCACTGTTTGAAACTTAATTTATCCTAATGCTGGTATCCTGCACTGGAAACATTGACTCGATTTTGTCATCTACAACGCTTAGTGGAAGGCTTATTTCCGCCGCCGGGTGTGGCCCTGAATTGCTGAGAAGTTAGTTCCTACCGGTTTTTCTTAATCACGATCTTCTGTGCGATAGCAGAGCGCCGTGAACTTACGTTGAGTGTCACAATTCGACTGAATTCTTTTTATTTTGCAAATCAGTACAACGTAGCCGGAAAAAAACACTTCAATTTGTATTGCTGAAACATGACTATGCATCGATTTCGAATCGTCGAAACATTGGTCGACTCGAATTTCGTTTTCTATTTTCAATTTAATGAGACATCCCCTTCTCGGTTTTATTTTGCCCGAAACATGCTAAAAATACACGCAATTCGCCGTGGAAGATGTTGTAGTGCATCTAAAGCGCTGGATATTCTATTTTGATCATCCAACTTTTTGTACTGGGCTAGAGAACAGCAAAACACCATCCCAGCGCTTCGACACCGGAGCGCCAGAACCGTTCGTTAGGGCGACCATACGCGTGCCACGGTTAAAAACTTTGGTAAAATGTCCTATTACAAATATCACTTCACCAAATAAACACAACGCGTGAAATGGGATTTGCCGCGCGTTACCCAAACAGAGCATGAAGTGAGCTGACGAGAGCCGAGGGATCTATCTGCGCGGTCTCTCCCAGTCTGTCCTACCCGTGACTTCACAAACGATGATGATGATAGCTAGAGAAGCGCCCCCTGTAGGTCGCACGTGCACGCCGCCAATAGGAGCAAACGCCAGAGCTGCTTGTTTGATGTTTATGTTGCGTGCTCCACGCTGCGCATGCGCGTCGCCATCGCCACGCGCCAATCCAAGACCGCTGTTTGGGCCTCCGCGCACGCGCAGAGTTGAAGACGCAGCGCCAACGCACAGTGACTGCGTTCGCTCGTATACGCAGTACAAGAACTTACTAATGACTGAACACGAATCCTATATAGCCGCGATCGCTGACGCGGCATACGCGTTCAATCTGCAACACGCGCTCGCCTTTTTACTTGACATAATAAAATACTAGCTCTACGGCGTTCAATATATACGTGGTGGTACGACGCAGGGTCGGTAAACAGGGTGTTAAAACAAAATATTCAGTGCTTGTTTTGTCTTTTCACCGCGAAAATAAGCTACGCATCGCCAAACTCTCATTCGCCTCCGAAATGCAGCGCCAGTGGTCCGAACCGCATGACAAAATATCAGAATTAACTGTTATCTAATTAAAAAGTTAGAAGTGATTTTATGAAAAGTTTGACAGGAAAATGGCGGCATACGGAGTTCAGTTACAGAAAACGGGCGAAAACTGTCCTTATTTTTTGACTGAAATAGAGAAAAAAATGCTTTTAGCCTTTGAATAAGAGGACGGTTCGGTCTAAACGTCGACATCAGGTTCGGACAAAAGCTCCTTAAAGCGCGAAACACATGTACGACGAAACCGTCCGATCCGACGTCCGACCGCGCAATACGACGGTCGGAGGCGAGGGTTTTCAACGCTCTCCGATGCTACGAAAACCCTCTCCTTCCAAGGTCATTCCGGCAGTCCGCACGTCGGATCGGACTATTTCGTCGTACATGTGTTTCGCGCTTGATAAAGGCGGTATTTACAAGAACCCCCAACCCAGGGTGTAAGATAGACAGGTGGGGAAACGAGAGCCAAATGAGCGACGGGATTGTGTCCCTCTCGGTTTTCTCTTTTTCTGCGGCGCCATCTATGTGGAGCACCGCGAACTCTCACTCCGAGTGGGCGACCGGTGGCGACCGGCTAAAGGGGTGTCCAAACAGGAGACTACAAAACGCACGACTCCGACAAACCGTGAAAGTTGAAGCGGACGCGCCCGCTTCAATTTTCACGATTTGTCGGAGTCGTGCGTTTTGTAGTCTCCTGTTTGGACACCCCTTAAACTGACGGAGATAGTTATTCGTGGATTTTCAATGGAGGACTGTAGTGCTCTCGGTTTATTTTGCGCACTCTCCCATAAAGTTCCGCGCAAATCCGATTCCAATTTTTTTCCTCTCGCCGCAGCGCCATCTGCCGCAACTCGGGGGTACCCGCAAGCAGACGAATACACAATCCGGTCACGGCGCTGCGGTAGGCTTCTATGGGCCGTTTCCCCACCTGTCTATCTTACACCGTGCCCCAACCATTGTTATGAAAACGCGCGAGACACGTGCCCCGAGCGAGTGCTCCGCCGCCATTCGCTTCCAAGGGCCGCTCATTTCAGTGCTGCGCCTACATTTGTTTTTCAAGGGCCGCTCGGGACATGGTGTTCGTGCACTGGCGCGTCTGACGCTACCTGCAAGACGAACGCAAACAGATTGAGGGGTCATTACGGGTGGAAACAGCTGAACATTCAAGGAAGGAGAAAGAGAAAAGACAACCAATCGCTGGACTACCAACTATTTTAATGAATCGCCCTCCTCTTCTACTAAATCTTAGGCTGAACTCCATGGGACGAATATGCTGCGAAAAACCGACGAATTTTGCCCGGCGGCTTTTGCTCTGCGCGTGGAATCAACACAGTGGCTGCTAAGTCGCGCGCAAAGCGAGCGTGCCGTCGGGCGGCGTTCGCCAGTTATTAGAGAGTTTTAGTAGATCGTTCCGATACCTCCGATAGCCCCGATAACGATACTATGCATGCTCAAGGGAGGCGGTGGCGGAGTATCGGGTATCGTTATCGGAGTCATGGGAACGATCTACTAAAACTCTCTATTCATCACATAATTCGTTCCATGGAGTTCAGCCTTTTTTTTAGCTCAGATCGCTAGCGCTTCATTTGGACGGAGAATTAACGCTCGGCGATGCGCTGTTTATTTTTGCGGTGAAAAAACACTCAATAATTCATGACGCACGACCTCATGAACAACGAGGGACGCATTTAACAGGCGGTTTATGAAGGCTAAAATTAAAACGGCCACCATCGTTCTCGAAAAAAAAAATATTAATAACAATAACGTATTTTACCTGCACCGTTTTCGTTAGACGATTGTCACGTTGAAATATGACCGTACTTGCGTTGGACGACAATAACTCAACAATAAAAAAGTATCGAAAAAAATTAGAGCTATTGGCACGAAGCTCTAGAACTCTAGCGCCTTCCAATCGGCAAATAAAGTGATTTGCTATTTTTCCCCAACTCAGGTACGTCAGAATTCAACATGCCGGCCGCCACGAAAAAACGGTACACTTTAAGCCTTTTATATATGTTTTCTCTCTCGGTCTCTCGGCATCCCTCTCTCTCTCTCTCTCTCTTTTGTCCCAATCCTTCTCTTTCCACGTAAATGAGCGAGTCACCGAATTTTCTACGTTACCTCAGGCTCCCGGAAACCAGCGCGCGGCGCAGATTAAGACTTCAAAGCTGCGTCAACGTCCGCCCGAGTCTCAATGTAAGTCATTCGAGAGTTTAAGAGAACCGTTGTTGCACATACGGTACTCCCGCCGGTATGAGCTGCGCATGCGTGAAGCCCCATATGCGCAGTTGAAATCGGCAAGCCACCGTACCGTATCGGATGTGCCAAAACCGGTTCCCTCAAACTTTTTATTAAGAAGGCGGGTGTCTAAGACCGTACGATGACGCGGCGGTCGGTCTTGTTCAGTCTACGCCTCGCGTTGGCCCCTTGTAGGTGACGCAAACAAATCAAGCACAAAGGTCTTGTCCTCTTGGTGTTGGCCAGCACCTCGACAGTGTACTGTCGACACCGGTTATAACAAAGTCAGCGGGAATCAGAAATCACTTCGCTATATCCGTTATTTCGTTATAACTGACTTCGGTTATAACGAAGTGCAAAAGGGAATGGGAAATAGTGATTGCTTCGGTGTAGCCGCTATTTCGTTATAACCGACTTCGTTATAACCGCTCTCGACAGACGCTATGAGCTAATGGAACAAATCAAGCAGCGTCTAAAGCGCGAGTCACTGGGCCTTTTCTGTTTATGGTCGGTTCAGCGACGATGGAACACGCACAGAAACACGACGGACACCAATCACGATGGTGCGTTTTTCACGTTGTCTGATTCGTCCCATCAGATCGCAGCGTCGGCTGCATCTGGACCTGAGCTAAAACGAAATATAGGGACAAATGACGACTGGAAAGCAACGGACAGCTGTAGGACTCTTGTCTTCTTCGGCAGCTCTCCCTGAAGGGGACCCTGCGTGGACTCGCCGTCTTCGACGCCGAGGCCGACGACGTGAGCGGAGTTTGCGGGGAGAAGCACGCCTTGCTCAAGAGGCTCCGAGATCTCATCTCCTGAGCGCCAGAATGTTACCTTGGAGTTATTATTTTTTAATTCAATATCGCTTTTGATAACTGTGAATTGCACCGAATATGTGGTTTCTCATTGATGAAGTATACTTTTTAAAGCTCACCATTTGTTCGGATTAAAGAAAATGTTTTCACAAGTGTCTTTTCAATTGTGCGGTCGGTAAGGCACGCAAAGCCTGAGAACTGGAATCTTTCTTGTCGTTTTATTTTTATTCGGGAGTTACCAGGGCGTTTTGTCGTAACGTTACCGTGATATCGTTATCTCTGTACCAGGCCGAAAATGTACCATAGACAAAAACGTGTCGCTTTGAAATTCCCTCTCACTATCTTTGATTCCTCGGCAGCTCGCTATGTATAAGGGGACGCCTTTACGCATCTAACGTACCATTTGCGAAGCGCACAATCAATCTGTGAAGCCTTTCTGATAATATCGTAACGGTAACGCAACATTAAAGACTTGCATCTCGGAGATAGAATGGGTTCCTGTAAAGCGAACGGTTCGTCTCCCAACAATCCGCCAACACCACTTCAAATGTCCGCCAACTTGTTATGCCCATCACCCTTGGAGGCCAACATTTGCGGTTCACGTAAGCAGAGATTCCGGGCAACATTTAATACGAAAATAACAAAACAAAAAATTAACGTGTGTCTAGATCACGTGATGTCAGCCCGCGTTTCAGCACGCTAGAAATAAAATGTTTGTCGACTGCAAAACGACTGCTACCTTGGGTTTTTAACCTGCATCACTCAGTGAAACTAAGGTGCCTCAATGCCCTTCTGTTTAGAGTGATGCCATCCTTTGTAGTACCCGAGGCCGACAGCATGCGCTCACGGGGAAAATACAAAGAAATCGACGAAAACAAAATGTCGCCATAGCACAGTCAGCGCCACAGACGCGTGCAGGGACACGCTCTTTCACGCGCTTCTGAACAAAAAATAAATGTAAAAGTGGGAACAAAATGGCCAGATGTCTCCACCCTAAGCAAAGCGCAGATGAAGGCACCCTAAGTGAAACAGGTTAAAAATCACCTCCGTTTCATTTTTGTTTAAAAAAGTACAGTCCCCTTCAGTATCACCCAGGAAGGTCACACGCCGTATATTACGACCTAGTTCTGTCTAAACGTTTCTGAAATGGTCAGGCAAACTTTGAGGCTACTCCAGTTTGAAAAATGGCGGCGGTGAGGCAAACCAGTGGAAGTGCTACGCGCGTTGTACCGGTTCGCTTCACCATTGAAGATGACCTCAACTTTGTGGAAGAAAGAGAAAGAAGGAAAAAAGAACGATGCTCGTGGCGGGCGAGGACATGCGGAGTTTGGAGCTGGAGACATGAAACAGCCGGTGCCGAGCAAGGCCTCCAACAGAAGACCCGGACCACTAGACAGCCTTGGCCCTCATCTTCATCGGACTCTGAACTTAAGTACAGATCACGGTGTAAGATCAACTCTTTAGATGAGGACACGGCGGGGCTAAACGCGCGGCGCGAGGAATCAGATAGCGTTCGTTCGATGGGCATCCGAAAGGCTGCATCATTCCGCGGCCACCCTACCCACGGCTGACAGTGTCGCCGGCGGCAAGGAACGCGCTGTCCTCACCTGAAGAGTGTTATCTCACACCGTGGGCACGGTGTAAGATAATAGTCTTCAGGTGATGACAGCGCGCTCCTCGCGACGTGCGGATAAAGTTCGCTTTTCGCTCTCTTTCTCCCTCTCACTATGGTTTCAAGCGGCGCCGGCAGATGACTCGTCGACCCGTGGGCACCGTGTAAGACGGAGGAGGCAGGCCCGTCGAACGAACGCTATCTGATTCCTCGCGCCGCGCATTCAGCCCCGCCGTGTCCTCACCTAGAGTGTAGCTTACACCCTGACTGTGGTACAGATAAAACCTTTTCCCAATGGTAGCGCTTCCCTGTGTAACTTCCTCGGAGCGAGTGGAACTCGACCTGATCGGGCGGTATTGACAGGCGACCCACAACCTCCTCACATGAATCAACGCGACGAACCTTTTCGAGCGCCCACAGAAATGGTGTCGATAGCCAAGTACGTCGCTGACGCCGTCAAACCCAGAAGGGTTTTTACCGTGCGGTTGGTACGCGAGCGGCGCGACCTATTGCTTGCATACTTCCAAGCAACATGACGAGGCCAACATAAGATAGAAGGGATCCTACAACACACTGAAGCGAACCATAGATCGAACCGCTGGCACAGTCCTAAAAAAAAAAAAAAAAAAAGACAAAACACGTTCACGTTTAAAACGGTCGCAGCGCTTTTCATGCTCAAATCGTAATTTTTACTGGCGAAAGGGCAAAATTTAACCAAAAACCATGCTGAACCTCGAGAGGCGTCGGGACTCGCAAGCAGCCGCGGAGCTTTAGCAGACGAAAACGCGTGGAATAATGCGCCGGCGGCGCCACCTAGCTGCAAAAAAAAAAAATAATAAATCGGACACGGTTTTGGATCCCCTCCAATGTACAGCGTCTATGGGAAGTTAGAAGTTCCATAACTGAGTTGATATAGTAACGGTGGACAGAACAATGCACGGTGAAGTAGACTATAGACGCTTTACACACGCGCCAAATTACAGCCGCCATTACTGACCTTCTCTTGTCTTACCGAGATGCCGAGCAACTGAAACGGTAGTTGCGAATCCTCTACAAAGGCCGATGCTTTAGAAAAAGACACAGTTGAATCTACTATGGCAATAACCTGGCCTGCTGTGGTAATGATGAAGTGAAATAAACGAAATAAGAGGAAACAAAAACTGAAGGTCAGTTATGGCGGCGTCCATGCACAGCTGCTGCAAAGCGTCTATAGCCAGTCAAATAGCCACTGGACAATTCTAAACTTTGAAGAAGAACGGTGAATGCCCAGCAAGAAGTTTACACTTCAACTTTTAGAAACATTTTGACAAAATATACATACACATTTTGATTTAAGAATTATAAACGTTAAAATAAATTTTAATCACAGACTTTATAAGACACGTTTCGGAAAGATTTCCCCAAAATGTTTGTGTCTAATGTGCCAAATATTAAAATTTCTCTAAACGGTAATATTTTGTTAATGAGCCATTTTTGAAACTGCAACGAGAAGGTCGTTCCAAACTCCAACCGTACATGAAAAAAAAAAAAGAAATTGTTAAAAGAAAAAACAAAACAACGTTCCCGTACTTCGGGGACAGTTTAGGAAACATTTTTAAATATTTAATATTAGCAAAGCCCGCATATTTTATCGTGTCAATAGGATATGACATTTTATTTTCTCTCTATGCGCTCTTAGATAATTTAGTAAGATAAATAATTGAGTTGCTCTAGGAGCGTCTGTATATTTTTTCCTTGTTTTTGGGTTGTTGGTGCATAATTCAGGGAAGAGAGCCAAGGATCAATGTGATATAAAAAACAAAAACGGCAGTCACTTATGCACTAGATTTTTTTTTTTTTTATAAATGAAAACGCTCTACCTCGAAATTCAAAAGCCCTGCAAAAATAAAAAAAATAACTTGTCTTATAAAAAACAAATATCTATTAACATTATTTTTAACATTGCGGACAAGCTATATCTTGTACGGAAGACACGGTCTCCAGAACCCCTCGAGGGGACAGAAAGCAGTTTACACACTTCCATTAAAACATACTGTATATATACTTTCGCAATGAGAGTTTCAGATCGGTTGCAGAGGGTAACGTTGGCGAGAGTGTCTCGTCGGCGTCAGGCAACCCGTGTAAAGACGCGGAAGTCCACAGGCGAGCCACTAGACCAGGTTGAGGAAGCTAGCAAAGGTGCGAGTGAGCGAGTTCTTCTTGCCGCAGAGTCCTTGGAAGTCGTCCATGTCCATGTTGAAGAGGGCTGCGCCCGCAATCCGCTTCTGCGTGGTGTTGCAACGATTCGCACAACGATCACCCGAAAGACCTCCGCACTGACTTAGCAGGGCAGGATCACGTTAGAAGGGCAGAATCACGTTAAGAGGGCAGGATCATGTGGTGTATGTAAAAATGCATTTAGTTCGGTTGATCGTACAGAGGAAATGCTCATATGCTTAAACTTGATAATCATTAATTATTCAGAGGCTAGATACATGTTCTATTTTTTTTTTTTTTTTTAAGATTAGCCATGATATTCCTTCGCTGGGGCGTTCCAGATTCTTTCTGTTGACTTGGCACGTAAAACCCACTAAATCTTACTCATGACTTAGCGGTCTCACCAGCAGTTCCCTCGGAGGCCTGCCGGGGTACGACACGAAGGAGTCTCTCCCTACAAGCTCCAGACAGCCCGTTATCTGGTTGTAGGTCGTGTTCCACGCGGTGCTTGCTTCGCAGATCTGAGGGGACACGATAAAAAGCCCACCCCCCCTGACTTCGGTTTGACAGCTCACACGAACGAAGATAGTACTTCGTCTATACAACTTTTCACTGTTTGTCGCCCAGGCGGGATATGCATATTCACTGGGCTGCGAATGCATATGCCCGGCGTTTTATCCCCGTTTATGTTTTGCTTTCATTGTATTGAGTATTAACCCAACACGCTCATCAAAATCATCATGGTTCTTGCTTTGTAAATTTTTTTGCGGAAATCTGATTTGCAAATTTTGCAATCTCATTGCCCGCGGATCAATATTAAGGTGCTCGGGACACGCCCTACGTTTCTTAAATTGTCAGTGATTTTAGTCATCTACATGATCCCGATTCAAGAGTCGACAAAAGAACAGCTAAACCATGATTCTTTTAGCCCAATTGCTGGAAATACCGGAAACGTAGGCAGCGGCGTAGACTTTCCATTTTCCCGGGGGGGGGGGGGGGGGGGGCAGGGGGGCAGGCTACGAAGTTCTCCAGGGGGTGGTGGGGGGGGGGGGGGGGGGGCGCGCATTATCTTTTCGCCAGAACTGGAGATTGAAGCTTGAAGCTAATGAAAGCCATGCTGGGATTCCATTAATAATAAATAATATATATACACCAACCAAATCCTTGTATAAAGGCGAAACCCTACGTTTCGAGACCAGCTCGGTCTCTTCTTCAGGGGTTGACTGCGGCTATGGCCGTTGAGGAGCAGTAATCTGTTTTTACTTATTTTTATTATTATTTATTATTATTGTTGCTCCCCAACCAGAGAGACTTCTCTCAAATGTTCACCTTCATGGGATTCCATTTCCCATGCATTTTGTCAATCAAGGCAACGTGGGCGTTATTTTGTTTACATGCCACTACTAGAAGCTCGTTACATGGCACGTAAACAGCGTCTCGGTAAGGATGATAACCCGGGCCCAGGGGGAAGGGCTGTGCCCCCCCCCCCCCCCCCACCCCCCTCGGATCTCACCAGGGGGGCACGAGCCCCGATGCCCCCGAAGTTTACGCCTATGAACGTAGGTACAGAGTGCCCTTCAAACTTATCCGGAACACGTGAACGATGTCTTATCTCATTGCAGAGCTAGCCTGCAGCAACGGCCGAAGACCTGCCGCATGACGAAGCGCCCAATGGAACAGTCCAAGCAGGGCAGGCCGCTCGCTAGACCGTGACCGCCGCAAAACTTTTGCAGGCCGACCAATATACTTTGTGCCGTATCTTCGCACCAAGATAAATATGTTACTGTGGAAACAGTCAGTGATTAAGAGATTCAATCACTACGCATTTTTTGTTGTTTAACCTAACGAGGCAAAAAGTATAAATCGCCTTGCGGGAAAAGTTGCTGTGTTGTCCCCGGTCCAGCAGCGATTTCAACCTTGAGCGGAGGACCTCCCCTGCTCGGAGTGTTCCATTGATCGCTAGGTTATGAAGCAGTTTCTCGGCAGCTGCCAGAATAAGGCATCCGTCTGCTCGCCTTTCCAGCATAAAAGATGCGCCATTTGTTTCGGGTTTTCGCTTTAGACTGGTTACAACCGCAGATGCTAGCACGTGCAGCGCGTGTATCTACTCTAGAAGCCTGCTGCTTGGCGTTTGGGTGTTTTAGCGAAAGAAGCCAAAGAGACCGAACCATAGAGGGCGCTTTGTCCAGCTTGTTTTTAGGGTGCCTCCATTTGTTGGCCGCTGCTGACAGCGTGGAGACACCAATGGAGCCAATGGAGCGCCACAATATGGCGCCTGAGGTCAGTATTAGCACCACATTGGATGTGGGTCCTGTACATCGTGTGTGACAAAGTCGTGGTGCAAAAACGTTGCGTTTAGAGAAAGGTCTGGAAAGATAGACGGAATATCACGCCGGTGAGAGTATCGCAAAGTTCGCCACAAAATGGCGGGTGTCTCCACCCTGCCACCCTGTCAGCGGAGCGGCCGGCAAAGGGAGGCACTCTTCTTGTTTCCTCAGCGCTCGCCTCTGTACCGAGGAGGGGACTCTACGTCCAACTTGTTTTCCCCGGAGCTGCGTGTATGTACACTGTAGTTGTGTGTTTACCAACACAAGGCACGTGCACTGGATTCTTCGCTTCATCTTTCTCGATGGAGCGCGGGGCAAAGATTGGGCCCAACTCGTGCCGAATTTCTTTACTGCGTTCGCGCTTGGCTTCACCGATTGAATACGAGCCCCAGCCGAATGCTGAAGCAACGTTCGGCTACGTGGTTCAAGCGCTGCTTCAAAACACAAACGAATAACCTGTGTTCTTGTTGTTCGGCCCATCAGTGTATAACTAAATTTAGCCACTAGAGGCGCTACAACTGGATCACCTTCTCAATACATGGCTTGCGAGCGTCGCCATTGCTGGGTACCGAGGGTTATTTCTACTTACTGGTTTCGTCGAACTACAACTTCCGCAATGTGCAACACAAACGGCGAACCGAACACTCGCGACGCATATAAAATACTGGCATGTCCGCGAATGACGTTACAAGCAAGCTATGTATACTTGGCGTCAACTATTTTGTTCTACACTGTCAAGGCTAGCCTGGCTTCCATGGTGCTGAGGCCCCGCACTGCTGCGCGAACACGTGGCATTGTCTGGCGTCGCACTCGCTCGCATGGCTAGTCTTGACAAAGTTGGAGCACTGGCGAAGCTACACTGGCCTCCACAACGTAGTCTGAATTCTTTACGGATCTTCTTCATCTAAATCAACGCGGGCCACAGGTTGAACAAGAGGGCTGAGTCAGCGTTGGGCGACGACTTCGGATCCAATCACACGCTTCCTTTCCATGGATGGATGTTGGATGGATGTTAATGGCTATACCCTTCGTAACCCGCGGTAGCTTGCGCCACCTAGCCTAAGTCTAAAGACTTAGCCTTAGGAAATTGGACTTTAGCCAAACTCAGGGATCCTGGGTTCGAGCCCCACCCCTGCCCGTTTCGATCTGGATGAGCATCGTACCGGCGTGCGGTCGTGTATCACTACTGCGTGGTGCACGTTAAAGACCCCAGGCTAGCGGCTGTACCGCATTGGTTAAATTTCTCATCTACAGCTGGGAGACTCGTCGCCCCTGTGAGGCAGACCAAGTTCTAGGCTGTATAAACACACACACAACCCAATTTTTTTTTTTTTTTTGGACTTTAGCCAAATTTTTTCCCCTAGCTATCACCAAGCAGTGAGGGAAGACACCAGGATGACGTTCGGGGGATCGGGTGAAAAACGAAAGAGAACATCACCCCCCCCTCTTCTCCCCGGCGAGAAGTCGCCAATGTTCCTCCGGTCAAACCTTGTCTGCGTTATCCCAGCACCGGACCCATTGGGAGGGGGGGGGGGGGGGGGGAAAGGGGGGAGGTTGAGACTTTGGACCGGAGCCACGCGGGAGGGAGTCCCAATCTTCATCTGTCCCGTCTGTTTCCAGTTGTGCTAGTTAGTTATGCATCATTCAGTTTTCTTTAGGTAATTTCTACCAATCTTCTAATTGCCTCTCTGCTCTCAAAAAACGACCAGTCCATGTCCCATGTACTCCCTTATTCGGTGTCTTTCCATGTGCTCCCAGCGTTATTATGCCTGAGCTCTTTTGTCGAATCTATAATCCCGGTTGAATTTCTGATTTCTCGCACAATACTTCATTGCAAAAGACAGTCCTGGTACTATCAGTCTTTTCTATATACCTCTGACTACTTTATATTTATTAGAGTTCCACAGCGTCTTGAGCGTCATAATAGATGAATTTATTTTCCATTTTCAAAATATATTCTTCTCATGTTCCTCCAGATATTTCCTTCCCTCGTTGAGCCAGACTCCCATATACTATTTGTATTTTCCTATATGGTCCATTACAATGTCTTGTATCCTCAGAGGTTCCCTCTTTTCATCGTTAAACACCATTACTCCAGACTTGTCACTACTAAAACTAAAGGTCCAAGGTGTCCCCTTCCTCTCCCATATTCCAGCTAGTTCCTGTAACGTATCCTGGTTATCTACAATAAGTACTATGTCTTCCGCATACATCAGTCCTAATTTTACCTGTACTACATTTCTCCCTCCTTCCATGTAACTCACATCAACACGTAAGTTGCCCTGGTCTAAGTTCTTTTCCAGTTCACTGACATATATCATGAAGAGCAGTGGCGACAGTGGACATCCCTGCCCGATCCCTTTTTTATTGCTGCGGGTTGTGATGTTCTGTCTCGTCCTGACTTTATTCAGGAGACTTCCGAACACGGCCTTCCAGCTGGCCTCGCCCACCTCGTCGAGTTGGGAAGGGGTCATACCACCAGCGACCGCGTGCTGCATGAGGGGTGTCGGACATTCCGTTGCTCCTGCCTCCTCCTCGCTTCTCAGTGGCAAACCGAACTCTAGCCTTGGGTCTATTCTGGAGGCTTCAACCACGGCATTCCTGCTTGCCTGCCTCCTGATCCTCCCCGCCCTGCTGAGCAACAAGTCGCACTACCACCGCCTGAGCGCCGCTCGAGTTAGGTATCGGATGTCCAGTTTCTCCTCGGTCCCGTTATGGTTTGCAGGTGCGGGTCCAGACACTCTGGCAGACGGGACGGACCCGTTGGCAAACCGGGGGTTTCGGTCTGCCCATGCAAAAAGCATCTCGCCGTACGGAGGAATAACACCGACTTCCGAGATGCCAAGAAAGTGCTGATTTTGTAGAAGGACTCCCAGGACGCAAGGCCGCTAGAGAGGCGACCCCGCGAGAGGCGAGACAACACAAGAGATCGAGTCAGAGGCTCAAGAAGGACATCGCCTAGGAGCCGGGCCTGCTGCGGAACCCCTGCGAGCACCGCAAGCCCCCAAGAGTTGCACTGCAGGATATGTGAGCCCCGCATCGTCGAAGCACGATTAATGTTTATATTAATTCGAAGAAATGTACAAAAAAGCCGTTTACAACTCCTTGTAACGCCGAATTTGAGCGCAGCTCTTGAGGAGGAGGAGGGAAGGGTACGGGGGGGATCAGTTGACCTCGGAAGGAGGGAATCACGTGACCTCGGGGGGAGGAGTCACGTGACCTGGGGGTCACGTGACGATGACGTCATCAGTCATGATGACGATGACGATGCGGGTGCCGATTACGTCATTGGCATCCGCATCGCCATCGTCATCATGACGTCATCGGCATCGTCATCATCACTGATGACGTCATTGTCACGTGACCCCCAGGTCACGTGACCCCCCCCCCCCTAGGTCCTCCCGAAGGAGCCCGAGGTCCTCCCGAGGTCCTTCCGAGGTCCTTCTGAGGTCGTCCCGAAGAAACCCGAGGTGCTTTCGAGGTCCTCCCGAAGGAACCCGAGGTCCTGGGGGGGTCACGTGATGATGACGTCATCAGTGATGATGACGATGCGGATGCCGATGAGGTCATTGGCATCCGCATCGCCATCGTCATCGTCACTGATGACGTCATCGGCATCCGCATCGTCATCGTCACTGATGACGTCATCGTCACGTGACCCCCCCTAGGTCCTCCCGAAGGAACCCGAGGTCCTCCCGAGGTCCTCCCGAAGGAGCCCGAGGTCCTCCCGAGGCCCTCCCGAAGGAACCCGAGGTTTTTCCGAGGTCCTCCCGAAGGAACCCGAGGTCCTCCCGAAGGACCTCGGGTTCCTTCGGGAGGACCTCGCTAGGACCTCGGGTTCCTTCGGGAAAATTTACCCATAATGCACCGCGCGGTTACGCCGACGGCGACGGCGACGGCGACGCCGACGCCGCTCAAGCCGGAAACGGGCGCCTAAGAGCTGCGCTCTAAAAGTTAACCCCGCGATCAGTGTTGTGAATTCCTCCGCCCTGAGTGAACCCTAAAGACGGTAATGCACGGCGCTATCACAGGGTTGTGCAGTTTGTGATTCCCACGTTATAACTACATTCTTGTCTTTGTACACCTGCTGAAGAAACCTAACCAAATTTGCATCTAAGTTATACTCCTTCAGCAGACCCCAGAGTTTTTCCTGGCTCACATTATTGTACGCTCCCTCTATGTCCAAAGAAGCTGATCATAAAAAAGTTTGGTTCTTCATTGCTATTTTTATACATTGTCTGGCGACGAAAAAGTTATGTTGCAGTCTTCTATTTCTTCGCAATCTGTTTTGGAGCTCACCCAGTATCTGCATATCTTCTGCCCATTCCTCCATTCTCCGCTTTACTATCTGCATAGCTAGTCTGTATATAACGGAAGTTACCGTTATTGGTCGGTATACCTTAATGTTGTCTTTGTTTCCTTTGCCTTTATGCATTAGTCTCATCTTACTCAATTTCCGATCATTGGGCACCTCTCCTCCCATAATTATTTGATTAATCAGATGCCGTAACTTCAATTTACTTGCTTTTCCTAGTGCCTTAATGAGTTCCATGGCCAGTGGCTGCACCAGCGGGAACCTTAAGGTTCCCGCTGGTGCGTAGCAACAAAGACGAAGACGTCTTTGTTGCTACGCAACAAAGACGAACACAAGAGAATGGGATAAGGGAGAAAGATAATTATCTTTCTCCCTTATCCCATTCTCTTGTGTTCGTCTTTGTTGCTACGCAATTCCGCTCCTCCTCTACACTGCAGCGGTCAGTGCTACCCACTGACCCACTCTGCTCAAGCTGGTAGAAAGCCTTTTCGATTGGCGGCCACCAATGTTGCTTGATGGGGTTTTCAAAGGTGTCTAAATTGATCCTTCTCTGATTGAACTCGAGCCTCAAACGAACGCTGACGCAGCGTTCGGCTACTTCAGCCGAGCGTTGCGTCAGAAACACTAACGAATAGCTCACGACAGTTCGATCTCCTTCCCATTAGCACATAAAAATCGCAACCTCCCGCTTGCCAAATAGTAATCGGTATTTCTGAGCGTTGTGCGGGCGAAAAAAAAAATATAACAAAAACGGAGTGCATTGAATTATGTTTACAAAGGTGTATTTACGTAGTGCATTCCTCCTTCCAAACTTTTATAGGCGTAGGTATGAAAAAAAAGAACAAAAAGCGTTGAAGTCCGAAAAAACAAAAACCTGTATTTCTACGCACAAGAAGAGAAACGGCAAAAGTAGTACATCTGGTTGTCACTGCTACTTATAAGGGATACCAGACACGCTCGAATCAGCTAATTAAACTTTCGTGTATTCATAAAAAAAAAAAAAAAAACTTTAACGTTTTTGTTTTATGTCACGCCATTTGTAACAACGTCAACCAGACGCTTTTTTTTTTTCGTTTTCTTCCTGATGCCACAATTTTTGTACTTTGCGCAAATGCCGCTTAGAACGGATCCCTGACATTAATGACCTATGAAACACGCGTTCGTTTTTCACCCCACGCAATAGAAGTCCCAGAAAAAAATTAAAGAAAAACGAGCAGCGTTCACCCCCTCAACTCGCAGCCAGAACAAGCGGCCACGTGATCTGGAGCCGATTATATGCCGCCAATGTAGATCATAGCCACGCGCTGGGGTTGGCAAAGCACAGGGCACGCGCTTAGTTCCAGATATTGTTATGGCTCGGCTATTTTCGTCGTTGCAGCGATTGGACACGGGCCACTACCCGAATGCTTCTCGAGCTAGTAACTATCACGAGCCCAAATCGAGTGCCCACGCAATGCTCGGGTCCAATCTATGAACAGCATTCAAATATCGTCACTTGGGTGTTCTGCGATCCCCACGTTACGTCATGAAATTTTGCAAAAGAGAGATTGGATGAAAATGATCGCTTTTGTCCTTGAAATTACACCGCAACAAAGGAGTTTCTTGGTCAATGGTGCTGCGTGCGAGTATCCTTGAGCCCCACTTGTGCCAGTAAATTGTGTAAAGTGAAAAACATTCCAACTGAATATCGTTGCACAGCTCCTTTAAGCATGAGAAAAGCAGTTTTCTTTCTAATTATTTTTTTTCCCAATCTGTACGCTCATGACATTTGTGTATGACGAATGTTCCACCTAAAGACACCTTTGTGGAAAGTTTAATTGCAGTAAGTTCATCGGTGTGTTTTCGTCGTTACAACGCTGGACTAGCACTCTGAAACAGCCTGTGTATATTGTCACGAATGACAATTGATGACGCCATGAAAACTTAAACAAACTAAACGTTTAATTGGGCGAACTTGTGCCTAAAACAAAAAGGGCACAGAAGATAACGATAGAGCGTCGCGGGCGTGGATGGCGGCGTAACAGCAGGATCAAACACTGGGGCGAGACTGACTCCGTCTCCCCACGCGGAGCCTCTTTTGTACACACGTGGGCTTCTGGAAGAATCGCCGTAGACGATTCGGCGCGTAGAACATTCTAATCTCGAACATGCAACAGAGTTCTCGAATTTACCAGAACATTAAATTGCAAGAATAAATAGAAGATGCGTCGCTTCCAGGAATCGAACCCTGGCTCTTCACGTGGGAGGCAAGCACGATAACCGTTAGAAAACGGCCGCGTTGTCTACTTGGCCAGCTACGCGCGCGGCAATCTGCCGTTTACGAAATTACTTTAATTTAGAGTAGGGACGGGTGATTATACCTCGTGGTAGGCGACGGGCTGCGCGGTGCGGATCATTACCGGCCTAGGCAGTGGAGGGTGCGGATGGTTCAGGTGCTTCCGACTGCTCTTCGTCAGCTTGTAGCGGAAGCCCACGAAGGAGAAGCTCAGCATGAGCTTGGAAAGCACTGCTTCGGCTTGCTCCTCCAAATACGAGGACTTGACGGATTCCAGGATGCCCTCCTGGTCAGGGGGAGGGGGGGGGGGGGGGGGGGGGGGGACTCAGAAACAACAACAAATATACAAAATAAAGTTAACGAAAAAGTGGTAAGCAGATTACCCCAACTTAATAAGGTATGACTTAGGGGTTTTATTGTGAGTAAGCGCTGGAAGACTCGTAGACAAGAGCAACCGAAACAAAATATCGAAACGTACTAAAATTGTTTAACGCTATTTGCGGAAAACAACAACAACAGAAAAAAGAAAACAAGGACCACAAGCTTATTTATTGCGCCACAATTCGAAATATCATCTTGTCAAAAGCGTAATTGTGAAGTGCGTACAGCAAATGAAGGGTTGTTTAAAACTAAGGATGTGGAACTAGTCTTACGAGTTTATATTTTTACACACGTGTTTCAGCCTTCAACGCGGAATCGCATGGTGCAATTCTTCTTGGGATTTTTGGTCGCGATTTCGAGTGCCGCCGCTCCCATCCACTCTTGTGTCGCCGCACGAACAGTGTAGCGACTGAAGACCGCAAGCAAAATCTTACTATGTGAGACAGAGGTAACATTTATGTGCATTTCACCGAATGAACAAGGCACGCGAGCGCGCCTTGTTCAAATGCATGAATAGTTGTACAAATATGATGTTGGCTTTGTTTTTGTTTGTTTTTTTTCTGGAAAAATCATATTGAAAGAGGGATCGCTAATTTTATAATCTCTGATAAAGATCATTGTGATAGTTTTTAACTGGAGAATGCGATATGGTGTCTTGCTTTCTTTATCTAGTTTCTCGTCGTTTGAGCTGTTCTATTTATAAAAAAAAATGACCCTCCACAAAAAAAAAAGAAAAAAAAAATATCGGCGTAACTACTTTTTGTTGTTTACTCTTTAATTGTAATTAAAATTGTAACTGTGATTTTTATTTTGATCTAGGAGGTTTTGGGGTGTGCCAGAAAGACCGGGGGCCCGTACCAGTTGGCCTTCACCAAAATAGAGTAAATAAATAAAAAAATAAGGCTTTTCACAAGTTTGCTGCAATGCTTGGCGGCTATGAACAAAGATTCAGTACGGTACGGCGACTATATACAAAAATAATGTACGACTATGCGACTATGTACAAAGATGCTGCGCGGCTTGGCGACAGATTGTCCTTATGTTCTCCGGGTGGGCAACAGTCTCTTATGGAACGTGGAAGGGAACGCCACAGCTGGACAGTGTGTGAGAGAATAATTGCCGATGGCGCAGGGTCCATGCCACGACAGGGGACAGGTCACCGTTTTCTGTCCTACGAATCTGGGAGGCAAACAGTTCGAAAGCACCGAAAGGATGAAGCGTCGTCAAGAAGAACCGGAGGAACGCCGTATTATGCCGCAAAGACAGGGGCTTCCAGAGAACTGCACAGAGTACCTCTGGAGTTGATATGACTCTGTAGGCACGAGTGGGGTGGTCCTCCCTGTAGACCACAGCGAGTAGGCCGCACGTCTCTGGAGACTCTGCGATCTGGCCAGACGAGTTTCTTGGTGAGGAAAGTAGATTGGGGTACAGTAGTCAAGCTGTGGTCGCACGAGCGCAGGGTCTAATTTAGGCAGAGCGTCTGCTCCGGCAGAGCGTGTGGCACGTCGTGAGAAAGCCAGCATACGACGTGCTGGAACTATGACTGAATCTATGTGTGCATCGAACTTGAGCCGTTGGTTCACTGTCAAGCCCAGAATGTTAATCTGAGACACCCGTTTTAGTGGCTGGCTAACGATTTGCAGGAATTGCTGGTCGTTTCGCTTGCGATGGCTGCTGGTGATTAGCATGGTGATCGGCACTTCGAGAGGTTAAAAGGCAGCCAGTTTTGTACAGACCATTGTCGATGTTTTCTTTAAGTTGGTTAGGGGAACCTGTTGCTTGAACCGGATGCAGAAGTGTCAGGTCCTTGGCATAATGGAGGGGTTGAGACTCGGTATTGATGGTGACATCATTAGTAAACATGTTGAACAGCACTGGTCCTAACACAGATCCTTGGGGGATACCGGAGGTGACCAATCTGAATACTACGAAATTTACAAAGTTTTTGTTGGTCCTTGTGCGCCTTACACCAGCGAGAAGAGCGTCAATGTTGTCGTGTACTTTATGAATAAAACGACTGAACTCACAACCGAAAGGGCCTTTTCGTCGTCGTCACTGTGGAGTGGTGACGGGCAGGTTGCCTTGACAGGTTTCTCCACCAGGTTGTGGCTCCACTGAACCAGAAGGTCCATCTGCCTGTCAATAAAGAAAAAAAATGATAAAATTTCTACAAACTTTCTCAAATACACTGCGCAAAAATACAAACCCCCCCTCAAAAAAAAAAAAAAAAAAAATCAAGGCCGTGTTATAAGCGCCAGGAGAAGTTCCATAAAGGCGGATTCATTGTCCTTTATATTTTTTTACCTTGCTTTTGAAATCTAGCTTTGTGCGTACTCGATTAATATTACAAACGAGGTACCTCCGACGGAAATGCGGAAACTATAGATTTCCCTACTACATCGGGAGACCTACAAGAACGTCACCGTATCTCTGTTCCGTTCCCAACTAAGTTGACAGGACGGTTGATGGTATACATTCTTGTCGGACCAGACAACCGTCGATCTTGCTCCACGAGATCGCACTTTCTGCCGATACGCACGGGCAGAGAGCGGGGTCAGGCGGTAAAAAATTCACCCGAGTGATGGATCTGGCGAGCACTTATAGCTTCTCTGGGTTTGTTTCGACACCTCTATCTTTTCGAACCGTTATCTTCGCTATATAATCGAGCGCAGGTATAAACTGGACGCGATTGCTGCGTCATCGTTCTGCTGGGACTTGCGTTTAACTTATGCGTGAAGTCGGCATTTCCGGCGAGATAACGTTCAAAAAAGAGAAAATAAGAAGGAGGACCTAACATTTCAAGGTTTTGGCTTTCATCGCAGTACAGCTGATCCCCCAAGTTTGTTTCTATCTTTGATGCCCGCGCGGCAATGTCGGTACTCAAACAAAACAAAAAGGCTCCACTCCGAAGGAGGGACCAAGAGAAAAGGAAAGAAAGATAGCAAAAAGATGTACCTGGCGTAGACAAGGGGTGAGAAGTAGGTACTCCTACGGGACGCTTCGGGCGGCAGAATAACGGAGAAGTCCTTGCGACGCTCTTTCAGGGACCCGTGCATAGCCTGCAGTTGAGACGGAGTGCCACCGGCGCAGCGCAGTGAACGTTGAATTATAGTCTTTCAGCAGTTACTCCATCGCTAAAGGAAACAAAACACGAACACATAAAGTGCCTTAAAAAAATACATTACTAGGACGAAAAAATTTCAGTCTCATCATCTGCATCAAGCAGCGTGCATAGTACCGACTTCTCTTCTAGTAAAGCATTTAATTTTAACACGAACAACCCCTTAACCTGCGAAAGACGACTTTCATGAGGTTATAAGAACAGTGTATCAATGTTATAAAGACAATTACTTCAATAAAAGCAAAAAAAGGCAAACCCGAAGCTTTCTTGAGTGTTGGACCCAGTCTCCAGTTATAAGCGGCTGTGAACTTTAATAGGACATAGTAGTCTTGGGAACACCCGTTGCATTAAGGACGTGTAACTTTGTGTGAAGCAATAGTTTTTGATGGTACCAAAATAATAATAAAAAAAACATTCACATATTTACTTCCGCGCTGAAACAATAGGCAAGGAACGCATGGAGCACGACAGCCATTTCCGTGCGAGTTGCGTTTTGGTAGGTTGGCATTGCGTTCGAAGGCATGAAGGCTTCCTCCGACTTTTAAATTGGTAATTAAGCAATCACAGCCTTCAAAAATGCCAAGAAGCGTGGCCGCCACAAATGTCGATATTGTATACATGCAACTTTGAGAAGATTTTAGACGAGCTCCTCTAGGAACATCCAAGTGAGGGCCAACATCGAACCTTTCGAAAAAGGTTGAATGTTGACCCTAGTTCACGTAGAGGCGAAAACTCAAACTAAGTTTGGTGTCAAAAAGAGGAGTTGCGCTACCTCTATCGCCTCATCCGTAACTCATCTGAACCGCAAAGGTGGATAGGAGGCATCTCAGCATTAGTTCCGAACGCCAATTCCACTTCGAGTTCTCATTGCTTCGTGTCGTCTTTACGTGAAAAAAGGTCCCATTCGCCAAATGGCTTTGTTTTTTTTAAGCAGGTAACTGAACAAAAACTCACACACAGGCACAACCTAGTCAACATAAGCGTTTTTTTTTTTTTTTTTTTTTTTTTTACGATTCACACATTTAGGAAGATAACGTAGACGGACGGACATACCTGACTCCTAAATCGAAACAACCAGATAGGACTCTTGTCTGTCCGCCAGTTTATGTTCTCTTGTGAATGACAGAGAGCGTGTTTAGTACGTCTATGGTTTGCATAGACTTTGCTTTGAGTAGACAGCGTTTCCACTGCAACAAATCTTCGCTCACGCACAAGTACGAACTCGTTGATGGAGGAGTCTGTGACGGCGAAGCTCTCCGGTTCCGTGATGTGCAGGACGATCCCGTCGTAGTCGAAGGCGTCCAACCAATGGTGAGTATTGAGCAGGAGGTCCACCCTCGCATACTGGGAGTCCTCGACGGCGGGCGCGAACCTCGCGCTGTCCGTCTCGTGCCCGCCCAGGACCAGGTACACCTTGAGGCCCCTGGCGTGAGACTTGAGCCAAGAGAACTGCCGCAACCCATCTGCGCTCCGCCACCCATCGCGCGGATAAAGTATATGCTGTTGTATACTGACGACAGCAGAACGGAAGAACGAGCTCGACGACACAAAAACGCAGAGGCGTTGTCGAAGGTCTACTCCGTTCACCTGTAAGCTGAGACTAGAAGCTCCGCCTTCAAGGCGAGCTTTCTGCCCTTGCTAACGCCAATGTGAACGCGCAGGCACGCACAACCAAAGCACTGCGGAAGCCAGCAAGCTCGCGCTGAAGGCAGAGCTTCAAGTCTCAGCTTAAAACGGCTCGCGCATGAGGGGATATGTACAACCGAAGCTCTTTTCTACTGTTCTCACCTTGTCAGTGACACTTGTAGAAAACACAAATTGGCGGACGCTTGTCTTTGACGAAAAAGTGTGTGTGTGTGTGTGGGGGGGGGGGGGGGGGGAATTCGGAGGAAAGGATTGCCGACCTTAGCCTTTTCTTCGTGACAGTCGTTTAATGCTATTCCCTGAGTCTGTACACGAAACACCTACCGGAAGCGAGCTGTCACAACACTTACTCTATTAGACCACCATAAAGCAGCGTGTGCAATGTTGCTGCAACTACGGCTCGAAGAAGAAAACCCGGTTCTGGATTTTAGGGTAAGGAACATGCAGGACAAACCAACATTGGTCATTTGCATAAGTAGAGAAGCAATTAAATAAAAAAAAAATACAGACCCTTTCTAAGCCAGCTCTGGTGCAGCTAGTTCCGGGGCGACTGAGTTTTGTCCAATCTAGCTGCTACATTTACTCAGGGTCAGGTTACTCAAGATACCACTCGATATTTTCGAGCAATATTTTCCAGGAAAACCTGACATTGCATTATACATTTTCACACAGAGTTTTCTTATAATTACTCTCGCCTAACACCACTGTCACCATCAAGCACGAAGTCATTCACTTTCACTCTACGAGTTCTCCAATCAATGTAAGGAATATATGGTCGATCACCTGAATCTGGTGAAAGACCCACTATTCAGACTTTCGCCTTATATCACGTAAACACCAGCAAGGCCCTAACTCAATCTCTTTCGCTCTAAAACTTCTCCTTTGAATATCGCCAACGGAGGGTCGCTCATTGGAATGTGGCGAACTTTCCGCTTGAGACTATCCCCCATCATGCCGCACAACCTAGCCAAGCAAAAACTCCCTTTTTCGGTCGCCAGTTATACTTTGAATATCTTCAATAGAAGTTCGCTCACCGGAATGTAAATAACGACCCACTACTGAAACTATCACTTAATACCACGCACAACCCACCCAGGCGCAATCTCACTCTCTATCGCTCCACGAGTTCACGTATCGCGATGTCTACTTTTCGCATGTCACTCTGCCGTAGCTCACCAGTGCGCGGTGAGAAGTGCGAATCAAAGGAGCACACCAGCCCACCGCCAGAACAAACCACGAACAATAAGATATATTCCGATCGGTCGATCTCATGTCAGTTATTCCCACTAATATATGGTAAAATATTGCGCTATTTAGTTAGATCTCTAATTGAAATTCCTAAAAGTTGAAAAAGGAAATTTACCTTTCAGGGCAGTTTTGGCACAAGTTCCTCATAGTTTTGGTTAATACGACAACATGCAGCGGGGTACAAACTTCGGTGCCACTCTGTACCAAATGGCACAGCAATCAATTTACTGTTATCGCAACGTGCAGGAGCAACACGGTCGTACAAAAATGCGCCTTTTTTTTTTTTTTTTTTTTTTTGCTTTTTAGTTTCTCATTTGAAAATCTTGAAAAGAATGCCGCCCTCGCACCAACTCTGCCTCGATGTTTAGCGAAATAAAGTTCTAGCAAGCGCTCTGGCTTTGCCCTGCTTTTCCCGACGCAGGCTACCTGCTTCGTTAGCACAGGTATACCCGTGTAACGAATTTGTATAGAATCATTGCCGATTTATCTAAGAACGTTTGGCAGACGACGACTCTCGCCGACATTCGACGTCTGCCGATGTAGGCAATGAGTATCAACCGTGTGGCTTACGCTTTCCGAAGTCGATCTCCGGCCTGAGGCTGGTGATGTTTCGTCCGTCCTCGGACAGGCCGAGGCAGCAGTAGATGAGGGCCGTGCAGTAGGTGAATGGCACGTCTTTCGGCGTGTACGGCCATGGACGTTCCGGGCTCTCGTGGTCGTAGAAACACCAAAGGGGTTTGGGTCGTTCTGTGAAACGTGCGAGACAAAGGCGTCGCCGCGGCCGTGTTCAGGCTCAGGTCAGACAAAGACAGTGTCGGCGTATTTCGCCTTCAAACGTACTGGACCGGTGGACTTTTGTTTTCTTTGTTTAATACATCAAAGGCTGATTAACGCAAGGCCCGTCCCAGAAATATGTGCACCTTCCTTCCGTCCGTTCATTTCCTCGTAAAATATGGCGGGAAAATGGGCGTCACGTGATGCCACGGTATCGTACGTAACGATTTGATACCGTGAGGTCACGTCACGAGACAAAGAGAAAGTTGACGTCAAAACAGGTGACGTCAACTTTCTCGCTACGTTTCGTGGGAGAGGAAATTTTTCCTGCTAAGTTTAGCGGGGCAATTGACGCGTCACGTTAGCTAACGTCAGGTGACGTTGCATGACGTCATGATATCACGTGACAACACAGCGGCAATGTGACTTTAGGACGTGTGACATCGTTACGTGGCGTCGCAAGACTATGTCGCGTGACGTCGATCCCTCCGCTAAATGTAGCGTGAAAATAAACGAACTATCGGTCCTTCACACTAAAAAAACGACTATTTACTGCCTTACCAACAGGGTTAAAAACGGTCGCTCTTTAAAGGGCCAATGACAACTCTAAAATCTGTTCATATTATGTTTTCTCAAGCGCTTATAGGACCTCGAGATGTAGCTAGGCCGTAGAATTTCCTATTTTATCTGAAGAATACCAATAACATCCGTTGGTGTTAAAAATACCAAAATCGGTTAAACAGAAAGAAGTTTTGGTGTGAAAAATACAAATTTCGTTCAAACAAACAAAAAAAAAAGATCGATAATTTTTTTGTTGGTTTTAGAAAACCAATCGGTTAAAAAACCTAGAAACAGCCATTTCTGGACATCTTCGCTCCTCTATTGTTGTCAAAACTCTTCCGTTCTATTTTTATATCTGAGTTTCTCGTGAAATTGTTTTCACCGATAATCACTGTTTCGAACATCTCTCCCGGACAAGTCACCGAAATACATTGATAGTTAAACACAGAATAACATCCGCCAATTTTTGTTATAAATAAACACCGGAAAATCTACGGCCTATAGATAAAGCCCAGAAAAACATAAAACTTAATCGCGAAAAAGCAGTTCTTAGCGCGCGAAAAGCCTGTCAGACATTTATGTCTCTTGTTACGCTTATTTGCCAGCACTTCCGTAAACATCCACATCTAATTTTTTTTTTGCATTTAAATTTGAAAATGAAACCGAAACCGGCATTGCGGTGTCAGCAACATCAAAGTGCGTCGTCTGCTAAGGCTTTCGCAATGTCTTTTGTTATTTCGTTCAGAACCTGGACTGCTCCCGTGCCAGTCCGCCCGTGACAACCGTCTGCTACCAATCAAATCATCACCATTTTTAAATATTTTACTTTTTCCTTTCGTAAGCTAACGTAAGTCAACGTCTACTCATGATAAAATCACAACGCACTCAATATAAGAACGAGTTTGCACGACTAAAAATGACCTCTAAAGGTTCCGGCCAAACTTGAGTGCTGCTTTAAGTATCCGTCCCTGAAAGATTCTACGCAGTGCCGTTAAGCGTAAGTCAGAGGCTAGGCCAACGTTACTAGAACCACTCAGTTGGGAAACTGCCATAGAAACTGCTCTCAAAAAGTGGCCCCGATCTGTCCTCCAGAACGGAGCTAATGGTGAACACAACGCCGCCATTTCTCCCGCAGCGGCCACTCGAGGAACTTTACGTTACTTCTATTTTGGCTTTAATCGGCCGTTTTCGCGCCGAAACAGATACCGCAGAAGAGGTTACAGGGGTGCCACCCCCGTCTCCCCAGCGGAAGCGCCGCGACTAACCACCGAAGTTAAAATGCACCTAGGTGGGGCCGTGCTACCTGAAAGCACCGCTGAAGCATGGTTGTATAAAAACAATATTAAATGTGCCGCAAACCCTGCAAACTAAAGATGATAAAAACATCACGCGCCCTTCAATTTGTACTAAACTCCAATAAATTTCATACAAAAAGAGTCTTTTCCGTTTGTTTTTACTTCAAAAACATGCTTTCTAAAAGTTCACGGTCACCACAGTACAGACAAATGATAAAGAGTGGCGCTGTTGTCGTATTTAGCTCGGTCTCGGTGGACGCCAGCGGCCCCGGTTTCGACGGCGAGTTTCCCTACTGAGTGTTTTAGTAAAGTTGGGCTAGGCCTAGCAATTTGTTTATGGCCAGCCTTAGAGCCACTAATTGAGCCACTAAATAAGCGTAGCTTATTTAGTGCCACTAGCCAGCCTCTACGCGACGGGTTTTTTATTCTGTTTCGCCAACCTCTGCCTGGCGAAGGTGCGTGACGAAGCTAGGTTCGAAGATTTGGCGGATGCTTGAAAGTATCAAAAGTTACCGTGTTGATTTTCTTACCTCCTCTGATGAGGGGCGATCTTTCAGCGGAAGCGAAGTTGACGAGCAGGAGCGCGACCAGTTTTGAACGAGCCGTGGTCATTTTTTAGGAAGAAACTGCGGGTTAAATTCACAACGTTCGTGTTCAGGTGATCTAAAAGTCACGCTTTGTTAACTTAATTCTCGCATTTCGGCAGTTGTTTAAATAAAATACTTACATTTTGCGGAATTGCAAAACAGGACGCGTCCGAACGTTCCAAAACCTCGTCATCGTCTGCTATTCGAACCGGCTGAAATAAAGCATCACAAACCTTTCTTTCGATTTCTTACTGCCTCTGTTCGAAATAGTTGACTAATTATAAAAAAAAAGACATATTCGACGTTTATATTTAGAAAATAAGTGCTATTTACTTTGTGATAAATGAGCGTTGGCGGTGGTGGTGGCGCGCCGATCAGTTTCTCGCAGTGACGCGGCGCGGCGGCGCGTCGACGCGACGCAAGCACTTGCGTTCCGACGACTCGCCAGCGCAATGGAAGCAAATCAATCCGTAGAGCAAGTCGTCTGCTTCCTGCTCAGGAATTCCGGTGACGTCAGAACGACGCCGAACTCTAACTGACTTTGATTGAAAGGCTAGTGGGTGGACCCCAATGCTATAAATGCCTTGAGGTCTACCCACTATTTTTTTTTTCGATCAGCCAATACGAGCTTGGCGTTCAGACATCAACGCAATCCTTGTGCAATAAGCAGACGAATTTTCGCTCCGCATAGACCTTTCGTTAAATTACCCAAACAACAAAGAGAATGTTGGGAGCGTAGGTACACGCGCCGCACGTGCTCGCCTTCCCTATGGCCAGCCGGCAATGGCCAGGCGGCACCACGCTTTACGAGAGTGCTGCATTCAGCGCCGGGGGCATCCAGTCTGACTGTCGGGCCATGGCGAGCGGCGGCGACCCTGATTTCATCAGGTCATCGTTCATGTGATATGAACCCGATTTCAGCAGTCCCCGTGTGCACGTGCGCACCATGTCTCTGGTTTCTTTGTGCGGTTTTAAGACCATCGAGAGCCTTGATAGGTCGAAATATTTAGAGCATATACTAGAGTCGTCATCTGGACACCAGTTTGAGTTGTCTTCACCAGTAGAATAAAATGTGCGTAATTGGAACCAAACACTGCCTGTTAGAGAACAGTACGTACAAAAGGTGACAAGCTACAAAGTACAAAGTACGTGTGAGAAGTATATTTACGCTTCGCAAGAGCTTTTTCTAAAGAAAGACTTTTGCATCCTGTTCTCTTCACGCTGTCACATTTGTTACCAGACTCAGCATCAAATTTGGATGCTGAAGCCAACAAAACTTTATGTGCTACGACACCGGTAACCCCGGTGACCTTACGGGGTTCCCGTGACGCCACGGGGTCACGTGACCTCAAGGTCACGCCGAGGCCGCTCAAGCCGGAAATGGGCGCCTAAGAGCTGCGCTCTAAAACAAAAGCAGCAAGAAGATGAAGAACGGATGAGCAAGCATTTGGCGGACGATAGACTACGCCCTGGACAATTGGCGGAGTAAACCCGGTAAGCTTTATCCATAAACACTTAATATCTGTAACGTGATGAATTACATCAAAATCCAAAGGAATTATTCAGAATAAACGCCCCCCCCCCCTCCCCCCAACGTGATTCGCGATCGGTCCGAACAATTTTATACGACTGGAGAGTAATCTCTGAATCATGAATAGAACTACCATGCAGCCATGTTTCTGTTACAGCAACAATGTCAGGTTCGTGATCATATAACAAGCACTCAAGGTCAACGATTTTGTTAGCAACACTTCTGGCATTAACGTTTATTAATTTTAAAGATTTCGAGCAAAGCACACCGTGTTACAGTGAAAAGGCACCTTCAACAGATTCCATGGAACATCACTGTGTGAAAATACAAATTCTGGTGTCGTTTTCCGTGTCCCACGTGTAAGTCAAGTTGTTGATCTTCAATTTGCTGTAGACGAGTTTTACCTTGTCAGCCTGCCTCCTGTTAGTGTCTGCACTATCCCACAATGTTTTCGAAGTAAGCGTGCTTTTTTTTAGTGTAGTCGTCGGAGATAGAAATTTCGGAACCGTTTAGTATATAAGCGTTTTTAAATCAATCGACATTTTCGTTAAAATCACGAACATTCAAGATCGCAGGCATCGGGCGATTTCCTTTGTTATAACCAAGCCGGTAGATCCTTTCAATGGTAATGACATGCACATTCAATTTACCAACAAAAATTATCACTGCGACCATTCTGCTTCACCTGGACAGGATTCTCTTGACAATCTTCAGGTACGCCGAAAACAATAACATTGATCCGTCTACTACGATTTTCATAGTCATCAAGCTTCTTTCCCATTCAAGAAACAGTCACTCTCAAGTCAGAAACAGTGTCATTTAACTCAGCAACTTTAGCCTCATAACCCTGAAAGGACTTTGGCGTGATATTGACCTTATCAATGGTGGCCTCAATAGCATAGTCGCTTATTGGCACCTGCAAACATTTCCTTCACACTTTGTTGTTCCCTTCGCATTTCTTTGATGTCCTTGGCAACGTCCTTCTGGATTTCTAAAATCTGCTGAATGGGATCTTGCGTATCAGCTTTACTAGTTTTATTAGGGCCGGGGTTAGTTTCCACATCTCCGGCCAGTAATAACAACAACCTTACCATACGAACACACTCTACAAGGATGAGAAGAAGAGTGCCGGGATTGTTTTCTGTCACTGTTCATTTGTAGGACGCGGCAAGGAGCCGGAATTGTTTATTTCATTGTGCGTTTATAGTCGTGAGCGAAATACACCCCGTTCCAACATAGTATACCGTTGTGAGTAGGCAGAAAAGCCGCTCGCGTTGAGCGAAATACCGGCCGGGGGTTGTGGCGTGCCCCTGTAATCCAGCTGCCTGGAGGCC